GAATAAACCGTAACACTTCCCATAAAACAGAATCGAAATAGAATAGAAACGTTGGGAGAAAAGAGAACGATTCAATTTGCGTTTAGCAAATGAACGCTAATGAAGTTCGAATTGATGCAGAAAACGAATGCTTTTCACACATGCCAAAAATCGAAAGCGCTGAAAAGTTAATGGAATAGCTAAAAATGTCGGCGAAAATGTAGATCTTAGATTCAGATAATGTCAAGAATATGAAAGGGGAATTTAAATAATGGCCATTTTCCTCGAATAAATCAATAGGGTCGGTTTTAATAGATTGTTTTGCCGGGGAAACTAGAACACGGAGTTTACACGATGCGCCAAATTTATGTTTTTTATTCCTTTGCACAATTTTTTTCACATTTATTAAGAATTCGAAAATTATCACTTATGCTAATTTTCATTTTGACAATAATCTGTTTGAAATGCTTCGATAAAATCTGTTATACAATCCCTTATCTTACATATTTATTATGTTATGTACTTATATCTGCTCGGTTTGTTTTGTCTCTTCGATTCGAATTTTCTAATCACATTTATGTCTGAAGCCGCGCCGAGTGACTAATCCCGACAGAAGCAATTAAATTTATACAACCTCAATATTGAGTAGCTATATATTCGAAATATCCTTTGCCGATAGAGCTATTTCGGCTCAATGCTTTGAGTTTATATAGGAAATTACTAAATATGACGAGCAAGATATCCCGACAATTAGCTTTACCAGCGGCATGGAGGCGTTAAACGCCTCTTATTGATTGCACTTCAAAACGGGCTAATTTTATTTTAAATTCTTGAAGGAAATCTACTGTAATGAATACTTTAAAAATTGTTTCATTTAATTTGTGCAAAGTGTATTTCGTTGTCGAGAGTCATTGAGTTGACGTCAGAATATGCTAGCTCCAAAAAGCAATTATTATCGCATTATATGTATTAATTTAAGGCTTATTATTGAGTTTTACATAAAACTCCCTATTTTTTATTTCTTGAAAGATGCGAAAGAATTAAAAAAGATAAAGAATAAAAAAATTCCCAAACGTACATATGACAATACCATCGGGATCATAGTGGGCGATACTTAAATTTGGATTATCTCTAATTTATACAACGACATTTCGGTATTTTACTTTACAACTTAGCTTGTTCGACAACCATTTCCACCGAGAGCATATCGGAATTTAAAATACCGACCGAGATTGTTAACAGAACCAGTTACAGAAGAGTCTCCTTGCCGGTCGCGTATCTCGGACCGCGCGTCCTTTCGAATATTCAATTCAATATGGACGAGAACTCGCCGATACCGATAAGCGATGGGACCGTTTTCAATTATAACCAATGAAATATTTTTAAAATTGATGAATCTGGACAGTAACAAATGGATGAAATCGACAAAAATGTTCTTTTTTTCGAGTCCAATTATTACCGTGCTGCTGCTGCTGCTGCTAACGAGCGCCAATTAAACTTGTATCGTTAAGTTTTGTTCCCGATTGTTGCTAAGAAACATAGTTATTACATAATATTCTCCTATTGTAGAGATATGAATACGGTTTAACGAATTTTCAATATAAATTGTGCAAACACCCAAAACTCCCAACTGACTGAATTTTATAGAATATTACCATAATTATAATTCATTTTTGTAGTTAATGGCGCACAATTAATTCGTATTATAAGTAATTATTGAATATATTCCATTTAGGCATTAAAGTTAAATCGTTTCCAGAGTATTTTGTCATTTACAAGGAACAAGTAGATAATATGCAGTTTGCGGTGGACCTGGATGGTTTCTAGTGCTGTTCGAGCGCTCGGGCCTTTACCAAAGGGAATAAATAAATACTAATCCGTTGTCAAAAGTTGCATTCTGGTTGCAGCATTCAATAGTGCGATATTGCATTAAGAGCGCTTCATTATTCTCGATTCGATAAAGCGGCTAATAACGAGTTAAAATAGTGGCTAACTACATAAAAATTTTTACTTGTGAATTAAAATTGCTTGCAACTACTTCGTTGTAATGGTATTGAGAAAAATGAATAATATAATTATATTGATTAATTTCAGGAATGTTGATGGTTCGTCTTCTACTACGAATTAGATAATTTCCTGTTGAAACGTTTTATTTCGAGAACCTTATCGATTTGTAAATAATAGAAATATTTATTGTTTCCATGAATCATATATACATTAATATTTGCAAAGGAAATCCTGCTTTGTCTTAGACCATAACTGTACAGATATAGTAATTTGAAACAAACATTCTGTAAAAAGAATAGCTGTAAGCCATTCTTTTTGAACTAACAATCATCAAGATACCGGAATGTATAGGTATTCCCAAGGTTTATAATAATTTTCAACATTTACACAACGCTTGATAAGCGTCGCAATCACTACGAATATAAAAGAATTGGAAACCGAGAAAGAGCGAGAGTCAAAGAGACCTGATCTTGATACATAAAAGTTAGTTCGAATTCTTAATCTCCACACTTGGGCGGTTAGTTGTGTCTCTGATAATAGTTTTGCGGTAAATCATTTCTCCTTGATCTGTACACTCGAGTAGTTCCAAGTAATTTAGCACCCACTGCATGTCATTTAAGTCTCTCAACTTTATCGGGTTTGGTATAAACTGTTGTAACACCTAGATTTATAAAAATGCACATTTTTGTATAAGGTACGAGCAAATTGAATTGAGTTTTGCTTTTGTAGATTTTTACGCAACATTCTATATAACAATCGTCGTCTGAACTGGAGTCGCTTTGAAAGATATAAAGAGATATTTTCATAAGTTTTAAGCCGACCTTTGTATGAAAGACAATAAATTGAACAGAGAAGGTATCTACGAAATTTTCTTAAAATAAAACAAAATAAGTGAAAAAGCAATATGAGCAAAGAATAAAGCATAATAAGCAAAAGCAACAAGGTAGTTCATGAAATTAAATCTTACACAATTCATCAGGTTTTTTAGCTCGAATAAAAAATGTAAAAATCCCTTTCAATTATCACAGCTTTAGAATTATATTACTGAAAAGCATAGTGGATTAATCGCAATGTTGGTTACCCCTTTCTATTCTATCACGTTTATCATGCCATTCGTACGAACTATCAACCAAACTACTAATAAAGTTACACAAAAGCTAACACGTTGCAGACGGAACTCTAGAAAGTCTATTTTTGTTCGTTTCCAACGCTTTCCGGCCGATTAACATTTGTATCGATTTTAAAGGAATTAAATGTCATGAAGTTTGGAGATTATAATCATTCGAAATTTCGTCCAAACTCGCTTGTTGATATTAAAATTGAATCGACAACTAATGCGATGTGGATTTACCATGCACGTAACATCCCTAAAAACTATTATTAAATAATAACTCTTGGATTCGTAGTTGGATTTGCATAGATGGTGGAAAGGAGAGATAGAATTAACGACTGGGCATTTTACTACGAATACATCAAATAAATCGCAGCAAGTTGAATTAAAGATCATTAATATTGATTTTGAACGTAATAATTTGCGTTTTACATTAACGTTTATAAGAAAAAATACTGCGTTTTAAATTTTAGTAGGTAATTATCCATATTTTTGCGAAAGTACAAACAAGTTTCCTGTTTGTTAGTATAGGTGATAATTATGACAACTCATTATAGTACTGAATACTTTAATAAACGTAAAATCTCAACCACAAAGAGAATGTTGATTTAATAACTAAAATTAAGTTATAATTAAGTTTAGTATATTCTGGGTGAATAGGTAAAATATGGTTTTTAAAATTAATATGCTATGAAATTAGGTACGGTTCTGGTATAAAGTTCTGCAGGAAACTCGCCAAAGATTGGAAAGCGGAAAACGGAGAGGAAAAATAAAAAATGAACGTATTTATTCGAAAAGTTCATGACGCGACTCATATTCTAAACAAAACGCACACGATATATATCATCGTAAGTGAGGAGTGTATGTGACAGTGGAACTTAAAGCGGGAAAGATCGATTTTTAATGGTCTTTCTACTTCTAGTTACTGCTCGCTCCGGTTGCGATGAGCTTCATTATTCTAAGAAAAACACCCCGACCGATAATTCCTGTTTTCTCCCCGTTTCGAGAACCCTCTCTGTGGGAAATTCACTGGAACTGAGATTTCCAAGAATTTCCTCGTAGCTCCGAACAGGACAAAATAAAAACCAACTCACGCCAAATCTCCTACATGTCCTCGTAAATTATATTTTTTCGAAATATCGAGCGCAATTTTGTTTTTAAGGAAATTATATAATATCCGAAAAAGTTCTTTTTTTTATTTTCTCCAATTGTATGCACATATTTAATGACCAATCTCCGAGGTCAGTACAGAAAAAGAATTTGGTCGAGAATAGGAAATATGTAGAGCGTTACACAACGTTATTATACATATCTATTGCCATTACACACGAAGTTGGTTGTTTTTTTGTGAATGTTGCGACAGTTTATCTTGGTTGAAACTTCGAATTCTATTCCAAGAAATAAATTGAGCATATTTAATTTAGAAAAACTGACCCACTAAACCACGAATAATGAAATTTATCGACTTCATGCGTTTGTATAATAATACCACATATTTATTATGTAGTAGAAATAATATTATTTTAAACGTTAAATTTCCCATCGCCGCCATTGTAATTGTTTTCAGGTGGTTAGATGAATTTTTAACGCGCCTCTACAATGTCGCTTTTATCGACGAACATTGTACGCTTATTATTTTTCTTCAAATTGTTTCCTTGGTAGCTCATAAAAGAGACATAAGCAATTATTATTCTACGGGATACACAATCCCGCAAAGAAAATTCAACGCGGCCGCGGACGGCGAGAAGAGAAGAACCGTTAAAAGTTTTATTGAAAATAAAATTCATCGCGATAACTCAATCTTTGCTTTTAAAATTGTTTTCTGTCGTGCATTTTTACGGTTGTCGTTCTTCTATATAGAACCGATCGAAATTAACCTTTGGCGTTTTTCTTCTGATTGCAGAACACCATCGACGGGCCATCGGCTAGTCAAAGTCATGTAAATCCATTCGGGCGGCCTCGAGTGCTGCACAACCTGAGCGAACGACGGCGACGCCATCCGGTACCCACCACCGTCGGCCGGCGTCACGATTAACGCCACCATCGCAACGATGACATCGGTGACGACGTGGCAACCGCGCCGGCTGCTCCTGCAAGCCGTCATCTTCCTGGCGTTCGCCTGCCATTGGGCGGTTCTGGCCACGATGCCGGCCAGCAACGCTAAATTCTACACCATCTATTGGAATTCATCGAACCCCATTTTTAGAATTGACAATACGGACAATATCATCGATGTTAATCGAAATAATGTTAAGTTTGAATACGATCAAGTAAGTTGGACCAGTTTGTTTGGTTTCTTCGTATTTTTCTTAGTTTTAGTCGAAATAGCAGTTACGAATTTCAACCAAAATTGCTCCGTTTTATTAATTTTCCTTCTTATTATTGCGCTCGGTTTCATTAATTTGGTTCTTGTCTGCTTTTAATATTCTTTATCCCGGGAGAAGTTTATTTTCTTTATAGTCCAAGAGGTCTTATTAATTTCCTCTTTACTTTCATCCAATCTTTTTACCATTTTCATTCAGAAGTTGTACCTTACTAGTACTTGATTCAGCTCCAGAATTCCTCATATTTCTCTTCATAGGTACTTTATTCTAATGGCTCATTTGTGGATAGTAAGTTTCTTGTATTTAAGATAGCCTATTAATTTAAATTTAGAATAACTTTTCATTGCTTCTTAAAAATCATATTGGTTAATGGATCTTTAGCCTGAATTAATGTTGTAATTTTTCTTTCTTTTGCCAAGATTTTAAATTTTTTATTAATGAACCTTCTTTATTCGATTTTTGCATAATTTATTTTCAAATTAACTGGCTCTTTACACACATATGTCCGAAAGTACCTATTGGAATAAAAAAAATAATAACTATAGTTTTACTATCGAATTTCCTTTGTCGTTGTGTTTAGCTCCAATAGTCAAATACTATTGTATTAAGCTGCACGAACATGTGTGCACCGTCACGATTCGAAATTTTTTAACAAACCGTTTTTAAAATATTCTCATATTCCTCCGTTTTTTTTCTCTGTTTCAGGTGGATTTGATCTGTCCCGTGTATACGCCGGGCACGAGGGACGACGAAACCGAGAAATACATAATTTATAACGTTTCGAAGGATGAGTACGAAACGTGTAGAATAACGAATCCCAATCCTAGGATAATAGCGGTTTGCGATAAACCGTACAAACTTATGTACTTTACAATAACGTTTCGACCGTTTACGCCGCAACCCGGGGGTCTCGAGTTCTTGCCAGGTAAGGTTCCTGCGACTGATGCTCTCTGATTGCGATGATCGTATCAGAACGTCCGGTAACAGTTTTTACGTGTAAAAATATACATAATATGCAAAGATAAATCGCGCAATATTACACTCCTGATTTAAATTAGAAAGGTTAATTTTTTTTATTGGTAAATTTCGCGATATATTCCAACGCGTTCGCAATTTCCATTAAGTTTGCACGCCCCGTAACCCCCTTATATGCATATGCGATCATCAAAGACCTAATGAGACCATTATAACCGAGAAGGGTGCGCAAGTTAACACCCATTCCGCTGACTTCTTTATTTGTTAAAACAAAAGGCTTACACTTCCCATCCTTTCTTCTTTTTTTTTTTCATTCACGTACGACGACGGCCATACGTAAAATAGGGTAAAAAAGGTTCTCGATTGAAACCTTACGGTGTTTGACAAGATGGCCGACTCGCTTCCAGCGTGATTGGTGCGATTTGTCGCAGGAAATTTTCGCGGGGAGATTGAACAAACAGATCGGATTTTTTTTTTGTTTAAATATACATCCTTTAAAACACCCATGAGGCTTTTGTTTTTAGTAAATCGTGTATGATCTGAAATTCGAGTAGGCGGTGTACAGTTTCGGGAGGATAAGTCATTTTTTGATCGGCGAGAGATAAAAAAAATTGAAGGTGTTTACTCGGGGAAGCTTTACTGTTTGCTTTTTTTTCTATTTTTTTAAATGGATTCACATCGAATTTCGCTTACCGCCCGTGCGCTAATTGAAGGCCTACCGAATCGGCATTAAATTAAAACGATGTTGTCTATGGAAAGCGCCATTACCATTAACCATTACAGTATAAAGCCTTTTGATTTCGGCGAAGTGTGTATATTATTCATCAAATACAATAGTCTTTTTCACTAGCCGTAATACCGAAATCGTACATTTCATACAGTATGCCATTTGAAACACAACTCGTCGCGGTTTTTATGAAATTAGCCGACTTCGAAATTACTTTGATGTGGTTTTCGCATCAATCTGTTCGATCGTAATTATTAGTAAGCGGGTTTAGAAAATACATTTTTCATTAGCGAAATGAGCATTTCATGAACACACGATAACGTTGATTTGTCGACGCAAATGATCATTGCATTCAAACGCTGAACAGTAAGCCGTTTCATCCGTTTGATGGACTTGGTTCTACCTATTTCGCATTAACCGGACTCCATGTCTTTGATAGTTGTACAATTTTTTATTATGCATATAGAAATGTTCTAAGGCAATAATGGATTTTTGATAGAATTCGAGTCGACATTTTCCTTTATAATCGCCTTTATATCGGTTAAACCCGATTCGATTGCCGGCTGGGATAACATTTTTACTCTTGCCTTTAATTCACGTGCTGGTAGTAACTAGCTATTTCACCAATGGCTTCATAAGAAGTCGTACTCATCTCCATTATTCCTCGGTTTTCATTATGTCTTCCCTCTACATTTTATATGGTTTATCCTGGATATCCTCATGGTTAAAATATCTTCGTTATTCCTATTAGTCTTTTCTGGTTTGTGGAAATTTGTGGATTTCTAGATGATCTACATGATGATTCCCTTCTGATCCCCTCTTCTCAACTATTCATCAGATCTATTGTGACCTTTATTTGATCATCCTCTCAGTTCCCTCAATACTCAATACTCCCTCAATACTTCCTGTATTATCCAACGATATATCATTTTTAAAATAGCAAAAGAAACTATCTAAAAACTCGCAAATTTCCAGGTCACGACTACTACTTCATCTCGACATCGACGAGCGACGACTTGCACAGGAGAATAGGCGGCCGGTGCACCACGCACAACATGAAAATAGTGTTCAAAGTGTGGGGCCCGCCGCCGGCGCCCGTCACCGCGTCGCCGCCGCCGCCGGCGACGGCGAAGCCGTCGTGGTGGTCGGTGGCGTCGCCTCGCACCACGGCGTCCAGCACCACGTGGATGACGTCGACGACGGCGCCGTCGACGTCGAGCACCACCAAGAAGTCCAAGACTTACAGCAAGCACCCCAACGAGGTGGTGAAAAGTGAGGAACTGACGCTGGGAAGTAGTGCGCCGACGGCGGCGAAGTTGATCGTGTTAGCGTGTTTGGCGGCGCTGGCGATGCGATGAAAGCGCTGCCGAGGACTCGAGGATGTTTTTAGTGTACAACTAATTGCATGTATGAAGGAGATGTCTCTTCGTCGTATGATGATGGTAAATGATCGACGCGGATTATTCAGTGTACTACTCCCCCCCCTCCTACCCTAAATAGTAATCAATATGAATGACTTGGTGTGTTCTCGTGGCCCCCTTCGCCTCACAAAAACATTCGACCTATGACTGTCTTTTTACAACGCAAAATTATCCTAATTTATATTAAAGAAATTCGAGAAATTTTTGGACGTCTTGGTGCAACTCGCAGTTTGCGATAAAAGTTATTTCTATTGAAAATATTCCAATTTTGTTATTAAGAATATCGGCTTAATATTTTTAAGGTTTACATTATGATAAAGAAAATCGTAAGCCTAATAATGGCCTAATAAATAATGTTGATCTGAAGGAATATTTTTTATTGAAAATATCTTTTAACAACTGTGATATGACCGAGATGCCTTAGGCAAAACATACTGTAAATATACTTACTATAATTATTTATAAGATAAATTATTTTTTAGTCATTGGAATTTTACATTTCCAAAAAAAACTCTTAGCGAATCGATGTTTTGCTTTACATTTTCAAAAAAAAATATAATTATTTGTATTGTATAATTTTTACAGGGTTGGTCTCAAAAACTGTAGATTTTTTTTACTTATTATGTGCCTATTTTGTATATAGTATTTTGATTATTTTTTCGTAATGAATATTTTTATATATTTTTTAATATTAAATTAAGTAAATGGATATTTTATTCAGAAAAACTATGTGATACATTTGATTTCAACCCTGTGTATAAAACTTTAAAATTTTTCCAACGAACAAAATCAATAAAATTAATTTTTCATCTTCAGGCAGTTAAAAGAGTTGAATAATCTACATTTCAAAAATATAATACATATTTGCTTTAAATTTCTCCTTTATAGGATGTTTAATTGCTTTATTTTCGAATAAAAATTACATTGAATTAAACGAACTATGTATTAATTATTCAATTGTTAAATTGAACTCTTTTAACAGTCTAATTAAATGTTTAATTGCTGGATTAAATATCTTAGTCGACTCCATATACATTTTTGTTTATGCATTTCTTATTAAGGCAATTGAATTATTTAAAAACTCATTAATAATACCCAGAAAAAATACAATCAATATCAATTTATTAACCAGTTACGATTAGATTGATGATGTTTAGGACAAAATTTTATGTACAGCGTGCTCTAAAAAAGTGTTGTTAATAATTCAGTGTAATTTAAATAAGTGTTCCATTTAAGTTATATCACGACTAACTTATTATATAAATTTACCAAGACTTGGTAATTCGGAAATTAATGGTTTTGAAACAATGCAAAACGTGAAAAATTGTCGCAATTTAAAAAAATTGTTGAATTTTTTTTGGGTAATATTTGGCCATCAGTGGGAACTGTGTCAGCCCTAATGATAAATTTTTAAGTATTTTATTAACCAGATCAAAAGAAGAATTGAATATAAAAGAATGCCAATTAAAAAACGCTAAAAGGTAAATGTGATAAAAAATAACTTAATAATAATTACACATACTCGGTACATAAGCGGTTAAAAAAGATTCTATTATTGATTTGGTTAATAAAATTTCAAAAAACAACAGCAATTGTTGGCCTAACAAAACTTGTATAGTAAGTAAAATTTCAACGACCAAATTTAGACAATATTCTTATTAATTTTGGTTTTCCATTTTTAACGAATTGGTGGTGTACAGTTTTGGTGTTACAGTAACGAACCGATAATAAATTTTATATGCGTAGTTAAAAAATTGTAATAAAACAATGTCGTCAAACGTTCAAAGTCTCTGAATAAAATAGTCGCTTTCAATTTGTCCACATTCAACTTCGATTCATCTATCGTTTTACTCAAAACTTTAATGTTCTACATCAATTGAAACTATTACTATCTACTTAAGGAAGTAACATCTTTGTAAAGTGATTTGTTTTAATATTAATGCAATTTTCATTCGAGTTACATTCGTTATTGGCTTAAACGCAAGGATTATTAAATTGAAGCAATGTCCATTTTATTCATTGATTAATCGTTTTATTGATATTGATTTAAAGCGCATAGTGACCAATTCCAAACATTAAAATGAAGCAAAAAAATGTGTAAATGTTATATTTTTCGGGTCAGTTGATTGTTTCTTAGTATATGAACAGTGTTGAACATTTAAAAATAACCGGTATTTGTATAACTGTGAAGACTGATAAAAAACTAGTTTTTATTGTGTTACATATGAAGTATTACCCCTTTTATAGAGTTCGGTTGCTGGCGTTTTTAGTCTACCCACCTTTTGTAATTATCGCCATATGTACTTATGTTTTAATTGAACGGTTGTGAATTATTTTACCTCTCTCACACGACAAGTAAAACTATCGCTTAAATACCAGTTCATTTCATAATCTTATTTATTACTGCATTCGTCGTTGTTTTAATAATTTCCACACATTTGCATGTGAATAAAGTTCATCTATCCTCAAATGCAACTATTTTATTTATTTTGTGATATAATTTCAAACTTCCGCAATACTAAGGTACTCGTTTGTAGTACTTAATTATTATCTTGCCATTATTTATTATTCGTTTTTTTAATTAGTTAATCGTTTTTGTAAATTAGTCCCTAATTTAATAAAGCACACACGTTTTCGCCTAGTTAACAATTTACGTTTTGTAAGTTAACTAAAAACGCCAGTAAATGATTTGTGTCTAGAAAACGTAGGTCCTAAATAAATATAATCCAGACATATAAGTTTACTTGCAAGCCATAGCGATACTATTAAGCCGTGACAAGAGTAATAATTGTTGCTCTTCAGTGGTTTATGGTTGTTTTAAAAGAAGAATTTTCAAACCCGAAGGCTATTTTTTCCTTTAAGTTTCTCTTGCTACTTTGATTATCGGCAGGCAATGACGAATCCGTTTCGTTTTCTTTGTGTACAATATCGCTCGAGTTTGAGAAGTGTTCTTCTGGAAATCAGTTTTTTGTACAGAAAAAATGTGTACTCTATAGGTGATCCTCTCGTCCAATTGTCTTGACCAGTGTTTATTTGGTCAAACTCGTATAAAGTTTTGTAAAGCCTCATTTAATCAGAGTGTACGTGATCGAAATGGTAGTGACTTGGTTCATGCTCTCTTATACATAAAATATTTTGATTAACAGAAAAGTTATAAGTTAATTTGTTTGCTTGATGAATTTACATACATTATCAGTTTATCATATCGCTAAATGCCCGATGCGTGTGCCAGTTTAAATACATTCACTGTCCCTGTAAAATCATTCGTACAAGCTTTTAATTAACATAATGAAACACTCTGATTTTTGTAAATGTTCATAGTAAAGATGTTTCAATTGTGTACTAATTTCTTTGAATTTAACCAACCAAAATTGTATTTATATTGGATATTTTTATTACAAAATTTTGTTGAATAGATGAACACTTTGTATGTATAAGAATTGTAAAATGCACTTATATAATATTATATAAATATACATAAATGCCATTTTCTTTCGATGTTTTATTCATACTTTACACTTTTCATTTATTTGTATTACTCAAAAAAATCACTTCAAGAATCTTCAAAATGTTGGCGATACAATTAAGTTTCTACTTTAAATAATTTGGAAATAGTTACTCTTCATGTTTTTGTTGAGATGTTTTTATATAAATTTCATATGTACTATTTTATCAGATACTTTAGCGATACGTTGATGTTTTGTTTAAAATAAGTCTAGAAAGCAAACAGATTATTTCCGTACTTGCATTGTGTCGTGGGAAAAGTAAGCATTTATTGCTTTTAATTTGAATATTAAGTTAAAAATTCTCGACTTTTATAACTATTGCAGGAATGTCCATCGCTTCCGTATCATCAACAATTAAATTCCACGAATTCCCGCAGGGGGATGTGATCCATCAATACCGTCCAGGCAATTCTGGAGGGAACGTTCGCGGTATATCCTGGAGCAACGACGGGAATTGGCTGGCCATCATCCCGCACGCGGGCCACATCGAAATAATCGGCGTTAAAGACCACAAAACCTTCCCGAAATTGATAAAAACCATCGATGAAGTGACCCAACCGAAAGCGATCCGATTCCCAAACACCTTGAAGAGATACATCGCTATAGGAACGAGATGTGGCTACGCGCTTCTGTACGATATGAAATCCAGAAACGTTAAAAGAAGTTTTAATAATGTAGGAGATTATGCAGCAGGTACGATTAGCGATATCGCCTTCACTGCTGATGATGCTCATTGTTTAATCGGTTGCGAAAGAAACATTTTAATTTACGATAATGTTAATTCCGAAAACAATGTACCTACTAAGCTTATTTTACCGAATTCCGCTAATCTAACCTGCATGAAAACGAACGTTTTTTCTAATAATAATTTCACAATGGCTGGAACTAAAGAAGGGATTGTTATCGTTTGGGATACGAGCGTAAATAGAAAAATATTCAGCGTAGAAGCCCACGGAGGCACCGTCAATTCTCTGGCATTCTCTCCCATAAACTCGAACTTAATTCTTACAGCCGGAGCTGATAGGCAATTTTGCTTATTCGATGCAATACGTAACGAATGTGTAGCGAAAATTTCTGTGGAGCATTCGGCAACGGCTGTGGATTTTTCTCCTGATGGGGATTATTTTGTAATAGCTTGTCGGGATGGTCTATTGCACGTTTTTGATTCGAGAAACACAAACCAACCCGTAAATTCTTTTCAAACCCATCACGACAGCGCGATCAAGTACGTAGCTTTTCAAAATAAGGATTGTACGAATTCGAACAAGGTAAAAAGGGTCGTTTGGGATTCGAGTACAACGTTCGAATACAACTCGTCTGGAATAAAAGCTTCTCCGTATAATAATGAACAGGTTATCAAAGAAAACAGTCATGTTACATCCAGCGGTAGTTCCTTCGCGGAAACATTTTTTGCCGGACTAGGTGTCGGTAGAAACGCAGTTTCGATGAAAAAAAATAACAGTTCACTGTTAAAATCTATGTTCAAAGGATACAAGAATGCTGTTCCTTCGAATTTACGAATCGATACGAACACTTACATCAAATCCGATAACTCCTCGATAAATACCATTAAAGCCGTAATTGCGGGGTGCGATAGAGAAGAACTTAAACGAACGATAGACGAATTGATTCGGGAGGGTTCGGAAAAACTCGTGGAAAACATAAGGAATAATTTAATATTCGAAAACGAGCGAGAAGTTCACCAATTGAGATCGATCATAACGGAAATTCATGTCTTCGATCTTAGAAGATTCTACGATTTAATGGAGCGTGCTCACGAGTTGTCAAATAGTATTCGACTGATAGAAATGAAGATTGAAAAGTTGCAAAAATTGCATGATGCAAAGTTAAAATTAAGTTTTTAAAATTAAGTTCGAAAATTATCAGTTCTCAGTTCGCCCATAGGAATTGTATGTTTATGTAAATTTGTTAATCTTAATTTACTAAATATAAAAATTATGCAATTTAAATAATAACTTACTTAATATAATTCCGTTACGCACAACTTTTAACACCGCTAAATTAAAATAAAACACGCTAAATTATTAAATAAAACAGACTTCTTGATTTTAAATGAATGACATATGACAAACAAGATTATGCAAAAAAAATATAAAAAATGTGGTCTTTTACTTAATACGTAAGGAGTTACTACCGTTTCAAATAGGTATAAATGGACTAATAAATGGATACTTTAAATTTGTTTGCAATTGGTCAATTCAATGAGTTGTACAAAGAGTGGTTGCAGTGAGAAAGTAGCATATAACTTTCTTTTTCATTCATAAGACTAATGGAAGTCGTCTTTCTTGCACCCATAGAACACAAGCGTACAACTACTACAAATTTTCCTTATCTGTACAAAAGTAGTATAAAGTTATGGAGCACAAAGGAAAAGTATTAATACAAGAAAACCCTACAAAACTTTTATTATAGTGCTTGAACGTATACAATAAATAAGGTCATATATTAGGACCACAATGCATGAGTAACATACATGAAAATGTGATAGTATTAATACCATTAATTTTGATCTATCACAATTTCTTGGAAAACATTTGCATCGTTATAAAAAAGAACCTAAAAAACGAGTATTAAAAATTGAGAATGTAATAAATATCACTAGGAATGTTTTATTGGCAATTACTTTACAAAACGTCGACAATTAAAAAAATACCTTTTTAAAAAATTTCAATTAGGGGTTAATTTAAATAGAACTTACGCTCTAGAAGTTACACGTTTACAGTCTTAGCAGATTAAAGAAATACTGATTAATTTTGAAATGTATCCCAAACGTATTCGCAGTCTTTTTCGATTACCTACCAGTCTTGAATAGTTGGCACCTAAAATTGGTTAAGATTTCTTTTTTTAGCCTAACAGGAACAATTATCACATGTTATGAATAATCAATTTAACGCGTCATTTGATTTAATTTTCTTTTAAAGTAGATAAGTTACTCTATATTGGAGATATAAAATAAAAAAATGTCAAAAGTGAATAAGTTTAGCATTACCATTATTAATTTTATACTAAATAGGTATAATTATAAATATGTTAAAACATCACCGGGTATAACAATGAAAAATTGTAATGTAAATGTATTAAAATTGCAAAAAAACAGATTAACTCATCTACTGTAATTGTTTGATGTTATTTGACTTTGATCTTATATTATAATGGAAAACATTATAAATATACTTGCGTATTTTCACACAAAAAATATTTAATATTTAGATTATTTAACGCTTTCAGGAGCACATAATGAAATTTTTTTATTGAATGTAACAAAAAAGTTAAGAGTATAAGAATGCATCATTCAGTACCGTTGAAATTAGTATTTACTGTACACAATTTACGATTATTAATGAGAAATAACAGATTTTTCATCTACTTTCTGAAATAAAAGCGCAATACACAAAAATATTTTCTTTCGATAAACAAACTTTGATCGAGTTATAAGAAATACTAATTCACGCAAGTTTTCGTATAACATTTTCCTCAAATATAACAAACTATCACAATTTCGACAAACAAAACAAAGGTTAGTGCAAAGATCACAGACAGAAGTACAGCCAATTTAGCAATAAAATACACGAAACACTTAATTAGTGCTTCTTAAGAGCCTTCAAAGTCAAATGACAAATGACGCATCGATTTCCAACAAAAATTTGAACTGCGAACTGCCATCTTATACGTAAAATCAACTGAAAGGAATCCATTTAAAACCTACCGATAATAAATTAAAAAAAAATACAACACTAAATGTTTACGTGATAAATCGGAGACAACTTATACTTCAACACTCACAGAAGGAGCGCTCTCGGTCGACGGGGCCTCGTCGATTTTTTTCGCCTTAATTTCATCTACAGTACTTTCGGTTGCTTCGCTCGATTCTCCATTTTGTTTTTCTTCAGTTTGTTTGTCGCCGTTGGCCACGTCTCCTTCTCCCCCGTTAGCGAGCACGCTGTTGTTTTCTTTCTCGAAAATCTCCACTTTCTCTTCGGTTTTGGATTCCTCGTTTTCTTCGCCGTTTTCGGCTTTCTTCGTCGGCTCCCCGTCTACCTGGGTTTCCTCTTGGTCGGTTTTCGCTTCAGTCTCTTTCTTCTCGTTCTCTTCCTTTTCGGGTTCCTTGGTTTCCTCGTCGAGTTTCTTCGGCTCGGCGTCATTTTTGCTATCTTCGTTCGCTGTATTACTCTTTTCTGTTGCTACGTCGGTTTCTTGTGTGCTTGGTTTCGTTTCCGTTGGTTCCTTGTTCGCTTCGTCTACACTTTCTTTCGATTCCACTTTATCACAGGTCGTCGTGTCCATTTTTTCCTCTTCGACCACACTTACGTCTTTACTAGTAGCCTCTTTCGAATCGTCTTTTTCGCCTTTTTCTTCAGTCTCTTCATTTTTACTTGGTGCAATTTTCGCTTCGGTTACTTCAGTCTTTGTCTCTGTAGGTTTCTCCTCAGACTTTTGAATCTCGGCAGTGTTGGGGGTGCTTTCCTGTGGTTTTTCTGCAATTACAATATATAAATTACTAGATAGAAAATGACAAAATTATTAGTTTGTACCTGCAACTGTGTCTGGTTTTTCTACACTGGCGTCGACTTCCATAGTTTCGTTAACTACTGCTTGTTCTTTAGGTACATCATCAGGTTTCCCTTCCTCGCAATTGGAACCGTTAGTGCCGTTTTCTGTTTTAGCTACTTTTGTTGGTCGGTCGTCCTAAATAGGGAAAGACCAATATGATGATGATAATGACGTGGGTGAAATGATAATGATAAAATAAAATGCTCAAAAATGTTAGATGACTTATCCTAATTAATATTAATACTATAAACAAACCATAAAATAATACAAGAAATCGTACTCTAAAGACAAAGAAAGGAGCATTAAATATATTTGTAGTAAAACGGTCGCAAATTAAAAGTTTTATTTACCAAATATTTACAAAAAGAGATGTTATTCTACTACCGCTAAGCTACCTTTAATTTCTTATATGTACTTTATTACATAATATTCGGACAAAAGTATAATTTTTAAGCGATTGAAATACTACTTGATATCATCGATAATAAAAACTAAATAAAATGCATCGCCGGTAAAAGATTAACATGCAAAAAGAAAATGCAATAATTAACAATAGCAGCCACCAGTATATCTACTTAACTTATTTAAAATCTAATTTAAAATTATTGTTTTCTGGATTTAGAACGAACCTTTGACGGAACATCCTCCTCGTTTTTACGCTTAACTGATTTCTCCAACGCGACGTCCTTTAGGCTGGAAACCACCGGAAATTCCTTGGAAACCTCTTCCGGTAAAGCTTTGTTCCCTTCTCTCACTATGAGCGACGCAATCAAACCGGCCGTTTTGGCAGCTTTAGCTTCTGCAATAACAATTAGATTTACCATCGAAATATTCACCAGGTTATTTTGTAACTTGCCTTCGACGCTGTCGGTGACGAAAACGATGTCCTGTGCCTTGACATCCAGTTCCTTAGAGATCTTTTCATAGCTGCCCGACTCCGTTTTAGGGCCGACGTTCTGATCGAAATATTGGGCAATGTGCCCGGAGAGATCGCCCTCGGTCGTGTGAGAGAACAGCAATTTCTGAGATTCCGTGCTGCCGGTAGAATAGATGGCTACTTTGCGAGATTTCGACCAGGATTCGAGGGTTGCAGGTACGTCAGGAAACACGCTGAAAACATCGTCGATTAATCGATGAATACAATCGAATTGATAAGGGCTTACTCGGCTTTGAGTTCTCCGCTTTCGTATCCCTTTTTGTAGATCAAACCCTGTAGGGTCTTCAATCCTTTGTTGTCGCTGTTTTTCTCTGTTAATTCCTTGACCAAGGCAACGGCTGCTTCCTGGTCTAAGGTGTCGTCCTTTAGGGATTTAACGGCTTCTTTGACCGCCTCATCGTCCCATTTTTCTTTCAAAAACGTTTCGACTTGTTTGTCGACGTAGGAGAAGAGCGATTCCTGGATTGGTACGAATGAAATACATAATTAATTGGATATAAATTTATGTATAATGTATGCTTGTTGAATCAAAAATTATCTAATATTTCATGAATTTATTAGTTATCGACGAATGTTTGTGATTTTTTATTTAGGTGAATAACGATTTTATTAATTCCGTAATCTGCAATCACGTTTTTCGTTTCAATTAAAATGTATAAATAGTCTTTATCGATTGGAAATGTGTCTGTTACAGTCTCCTTATTTACCCTTGAAGAATATCTTTATTCAAAATGCACATGACAACAGTGAAATTTAAATGCAAAGGGAGATTTATTATTTCACAAAAAATTGGAATAATAGATATTCCCTATAGTTTTAGCAACATTTACAACATATTTCAAGCCTAATCATATTTTTACCAATATATTAATTTTAAACGGTTATCAAGTAGGCATTGCCAAGGAAATTTTGACGTCAGTTATTTTTGAACAGAAACAATTAGAATATTCTATTTTAATTATTTTAAAAGTCAATGGTCTTTCGAATTAACTTTAATCGTTTACACTGGCTAACTATCATAAGGTCAATGTTTTAAAGAGTTCATTAATTCTCACGTATTTTTTTCTACTAGAGTGCCGATAGTCTTTGATTTCAGATCGTTAAAGTAATAAAACTGTCAAATGCCAAATTTGTTTTTGACAAGGCACATTTGATAATAATAATTTTTTAAATGAACAGTTTGATTTTAAAAATGGCCTTTTTTTATTATCTTTTTACAGCAATTGTAGAAAATCCTAATTTGTTTTTGACAAGGCACATGTGATAATTACAATATTATCATAAATTAAAATTAATCTCGCTCAGAAAATGAAAGTCCCAAATTAGATGTATTATTACTCCCTAAGATTATATAATATGGTGATAAAATCATTATTCTGTAGAAAACCTAAACAGGGTATTATGAATATTCAGAATAAATTCTGAATAAAATTAATCTTGTAATGCAAGTTGATTCATATTAATAAACTTCTATTCAATATAAGTTAATTAAAATTAGTCCTACTGATTAATGAATGAAATATCTATCTAAAATTGCTAAGAATTGAGTAAACAAATTCACTTATAGGTACCTAAAGAAATAGGTACCTAAAGAAATAGGTACCTAAACAGTATAAGGAAATGTTACAGATTTGAATATTGCATTTAATAGCAAAGGTACTCATTCAAACAAAGTAAAAATGTAGGTAGAAAAATGTAACAAAAGCAACGAGGAACATGCATATTGGGGTACAATCAAAGTAGGCAAGGCAACAAAGAAATCCAAAAATGTACAGTTAGGTGAGTACCTAAAGGAAAGACTTTCTGTTCCTGATCGTGGTGTTTGCCAATCGGTTGCAAGACATTTTGCAGCGGCTGTACAAGAGATGTGAATGCACTATGCATGGATCAAGGGTTGAATTTTTACCTGATCCAAGGACGACGAGAACGAGATACGATGCGAGTGGCGAAAATAAATATCATATGTGCACCGGAACGTATTCTAAATTTAGAACTGCATGCGAATTATCCAAATTGTATGCGCCGAAAATCGCCGAGCCAAATGGGAAATAGCCAGCGCAACACCGGAAAATCAATACGCACTCGGACAGGATGCGATTTTCACGGCGAATATTCGGATGATTAGCTGTAAATTACCTTTAAAAAAACATTGGAAGTCGTAGTGCCGGCGATGTCGAGTAGTAAAACACTGCATTTGTCTACATTCAAGACGGGATTGGCGAGTTCCGTACTCATTTTGTTCGGTTCACTAACTTCGAATTGACTAGCACAATTAAAGCGATTTGAATCGGTTTAATAGGGTTTAAAATTCGTGAGATGTTGACAAACACTTGCTTCTAGGGATTAAACGGACTAACGTACACCAACAAAATGGGTGCCGGTGTTGGTGAATTGAGTTTAACCGGTTTGTTTCGTGCGGAGTTTGCGCAAGAGAAAAAACCGCCAAACGAGATTGCCCGAAGTGTTTCCGAACGCATGTGAATGTCATTGAATTTAGACTGTTGCCAACATAAATTTTAAAGTTACCAAAATAGATTTTTTATAGTACAGTCATTTTGTTATTGATAGTACAGGCAATATGGTTCACATATAGATATGGGTAAGTGCAAATTTGTTCGAAATATGGATAATTCTATGAGTTGAACAAAGATTATGGTAATTTAATAAAAAAAGTTATTAAAGTATGAATAATATTTATTTATAACTCTTATTTATAATATTTATATTTATTCAGTATCACTGATAAAGCCAAGCTGTACATTAAAAAAATACTGTCTACATAATATCAACTATGATCAATATATACAGAATGGTTCCAATGCTCGAAATTTTCAAAATTCATCTTAAAACTAATTATTGAATGTATTTTAGGGTTACACGTATATAAGTTAAAATTATTTTCGACTAACAAACACATTTCTCATTAAAACGTTTAACAATATTTATAAAATACATTTGTCCATATAGATTCAAAAACACTTGACCCGAAAATCGTGCAAGGTTGCCAATTCGCTATCAAAAATAGAAGTAAATGCCAAAGTTCTCAAGTCATGACATTTGGGGTACTCTCGCAGTTGCCAAAAGATTGCTCATTTTAACAAGCTGTGCCCGCTGTTAGTTGATGTTTCGATTAGATAATTAATATCACAAAATTTATACCATATTTCAATTTTAATAAATTGTTTTTGATAGCTTTTATGGAACAAAATTATTTATTTAAGAGCTATTATTTGTGTAGACATGTCAGCCAAATATTCTTTTACTACTTAAAAATCCGGGGACTTTTACAAATCATGTACGATATTAAATAGTGACGATTTTATAGTACGAGTATTTGTCATAAGAGCTCACAGACAAAATTAACAATGTACATACACATATTGTGAATTAATTTACAATTTTGGTAAATATTCCATGATTAATGTAATCTAGCAAGCACACATCATTGGACACTCAAAAATCAATATTTTTTTATGAGTAACAGGGAACACAAACGTTTTGTCACATGTTATTCCACTTCAGCCTTCTGGGTACAATCATTTGCTACTGAAGTGCAAATATAAAATGTCCAATCGCCTAGATGAAGTGTACTTTGCACCGGTACGTGGCACTTGATACTAATGATACTAAAATATACGTTTAAATTGATGCTAATGTTCTTCTAAAGGAGTTACTGAATAATATATTTTTCAGAATGATTCTCTGATAAGAAATTAATTCCAATGGCAATAAATGAGAAGTAAGTTTCCAGAAACGTTAAATGAAAATTATACATTCAGTATAAATCTGTGATTTGTAAAGTGAACTTGTAATGAATATAATCTATTCAATAATATAATATAAATATCGATCACTGTATTTATACAGATATGAAATATCATTCACCTTTTGTGTAATATCAATGATTAGGATTTCTTAACCAAAACTATTTCTTAAACCAAATGATACTTCATTAAAGTGTATATTTTATATTAAACCACCAAAAATTATCATCCAAAAATAAGAATTTCGTTAGAATATAACTTACTTGATTGATTGATATTACAAATTTGGATAATAATTTCAGATCCTTAAATATAATCCTAAAACATTAACTTAATTCCAGTCCTTTATATTATATACCTGCAACATCTAATTTGATTGAGATATTAACCGTTACTAAAATAATAAATTATAATAAACCTAAAAACCATTCAAAGTAATGTAAAAAGATAAACGCTTGCTTTATTTTGATCAGCCACCATCTTGGTCTGGGACGAATTAAATGAAAATGCAAATAATTATTTTCAACAAATCTAACATAGTTAAGGAAAACGCGTTTCCGTTTATTTACCTTAATAAACAATATCTATTACTAATAAGTTTAAAATTTATAAAGAATTACACAAATAGAAACAAAAAAAAACTAGTCGAAAGTAATAAAAAAACAAATAATTCTCTGGAATAATAGGGAATATAAATGTGCTATATAAACGTGAAACTTTTCACAATAATAAAGAAAACTGTAACATCTAAAACGCGCGCATTGGTCGCTAATTTTCTTTCGGTGGCAACGCATTACCTTCTAAAAGTGTCATATTTTGTCAGATTGGCACTAGCTTATTAATGAACAACAGCGAAATGCTTTGAATTGGACTAGCACTTATTGACATCCGGCGGAGTTACTAAATACTCGTCCACTCTCTTGTGATCGGAAAGAGCGTTCACTGTATATTGATCTTGGGGCAGTTCCGATTTGCGGCGAATCAACGGCTTGGTCATGTTGCGTTGGTTTTTATTCTGCTGGAACCAAAACACGAACTTCTTAATTATATAGGCTCGAAGGAGAGTTACTCGAAAATGCCTTATACACTTTTGTCCTAAAGTCCATACATGAGGAGTTGGGAGCAACAAATATTTTTTTATTAACCTACTAGAAATTATTCTAGTAGTGGAAGAGGAGGTCCTGTTAAATGACCTCCGAGATCGCCAAACCTAACACCTCTGGACTATTATCTTTGGAGAGTATACAGAGTGTCCATGTTCGAGCGCTGCAAACAGTAGAAAGAGAGATTCAGTCGAACTGTGGAGAGGCGCGGCTTCGGCGCGATGAATCGGCGGACGAATGTAGCGCTCGACTTTAGACACAGTGTATGAAGAGTTTAGTGTATTCTAATTCACCACAAAACCGAGATGAGCTAATATTGTAAACATTATAGCTGCAACTGCATCACATAGAGCTACATCTACAATTGTTAGAAAAGCAAGAAAGTGTTGCATAGTAGCTTTAGGAATGTCCGAAAAACTATTAAGTAATAAATATTAAATTGTATAAGACATTTTCGACTTAAAATTGAGTAATACCCTCTTAGGCTATGCTTATTTTTACTGTTAGATTATTTTTTTAAGGGCAGTTTGATATTTGTTAGTGTTAGTAGTACGACATACTTCTGATTCGTCGTTTTTTAAATTCTCTAAATTGAAATCATCGGCATTTTCGGCGTTAGACATGATATTGTTCATCAAAAAATTCCTCGGACCCTCGTACTCCGGTCGACGCGACGCCAAAATTTCCACTTTATTCCACAACTCTTGCCGTTGGTGTTCCCTTTCTTTTTCCCTACAAAACGAAATATTACTCTCAATACAAAAACGAATCGTTTCCATCCAATCGACTCACTTCTGTCTCTCTTGGCGGTGCTGCTGGGTGCACTCGTCGAACAATTTCTGATCCATTTCCATGAACAGCTTCAGAGCATTGTAGATTAGACCGTGGATGGTTTTGTTCCAGTGAGTCTTCGAATTTTTGTACAAACTCGGGAACATGATGGGTAGAATTTGAGCGACGTTATCGGACACCAAAGACATCACGTATTCGTTATTCCAATAATACAAAGCTCGCTCTGCGACCTACAAAGGATTTGTTGAATTACACCAACATGATTCTCGTACTGATGGTACAAAACTACCTGAAAATGTGGCGAGCTGACGCATTTGGCCAATTGTCCGAACAACGGCACCATGACCTTTTGGAATTCGGCCGGTTCGATAACGTCCAGAATTTCCTCGAGTTCGTTGAGGAACATGACCTCTTTGGGGCTGTGCGTCTTCGGCCAATACTTCAACAGGCTTTTGATGACCGGCTGGGTGAGCGAAGCGTCTTTCTCCAAAAATTGGACCACACAATAGGCCAGCTGGGCGTGGTACACGGACAGGCTTTTGACTTTGTGCAGCGGCATCAAAGCTCTGAGCAGGAACAACTGGAACAATCGTTTCGAGTTAAAATCGATAGGATAGGCGCAATTGATGTAGTACCTTATGCTCGTCTTTCAAAGGCAACGCGAATCCGTTAATAATGGATCCCAAAATTTCCAACAATTCGGCGATGCCATTATGATGTTCGGTTTCGTAAATAAATCTGCAAAAAAATAACATAATTTTAGTAATTATATCTGTATACAATTTAATTATATTTACTTGCTAGCGTGACTAATAATAATACAAATGATTACCTATAAAATACGTTACTGATTTGTTTCCTAATAAAAGCTCTAAGACCTAAAAATTTCCCGTATATTCTATGTAATGTAGTCTTCAATAAGTCCCTCTCGCGTGGATCTTCCGAATCGAACAAATCCAACAGTTGCAGCACAAACTTCTGATCGATGTACCTGAAACGGTAACAAATTAGAAATCGTTCGATTGAACTACTACCGTTTGATAGGATTCAATTCAATACCTCTTGGCTATATTCGGCTGGAAATCGGGCGCTTCCAAAACTCTCAAAAACAATTCGTAAACGAGCTGCAAATGGGGCCAGGCGGCCTCCAGCGTGGGCTCGTCCTCCTCCGGATCGAATTCGGCCCCGTTGGGGTTTGTCGAAGGAGGAAGAGTACGGAAAAGATTAACAGCAAACTGATGAAAAAAAGAGAACAAATAATGAAATCAAATGTACAAACAAATGTTTTGACAATTTACCATGTTTACAGCTTCCGAGTAAATTACGTCGGTAATAACGCCCTTGTGAGTTGTTACGTACTCGACCATTTCCTGGAGGGCCGTTCTTTTTATTTCCTTCCATTTCAAATCGGAAAGAGGATCAGTGGCGAAATCGAATAGCACGCAACACTGACGCAGTTTCTGTATAAATAATTCCTCTTTATCGTCGGGAGAAGCATCTGAAACGGAAAATGGTTGCATCCATAAATTCACGACATAAAATTCGTTTTACTGTGCTTCACACAAAACTTGAAGACTCATACTCACATTCAAAATAACTCATTTTCATCGATATGCAAAAATAAGTTATGCATAGTACGTTTTGCTATATTACGGTAATTATCGTGTGAGACAAACGGTACAGTATGTATGTAAAAACCGTAAAAAACTTGCGAACTGGATCTTTGGATTTTTTGGCGCAATTCATACAAATAGACCCACGGATTTATAAAAGCGAGAGAAAATGCTAAAAATAAATAACCGAAAAAGAATGTCGAACTTGTACGCACATGTGCTATGTTTCGATGATTGCTGTTACGCGACTGGCGCAAAAAAAATTATACAAAAATTATTGTCCGTTATAATTATTCCTTTTTCAATTAATTCATTTCATTACCATTCGGTACAATATTTGTGGGACACAAGAGCAAGGAGAATGCAGGCCGGTACTCGACAATTTCAAATGGTAAACAATATTTCATTGTTGATTACAAGCAGTGTTATTTACCGGTTAACCCACTTCATTGCTACTGTATTCATAAACCTCAATCCTAAACAATTATTTCTCTCGAATAAATCTCACTGGTTAATTAGGGTGGATTCTAGATTCTATCAAAGCTCTGATAAATTGATTTCATATTTTAAAACCGTTTCGTTTTTCTGTGCATTAATAACGCCACCCCTAGCTGAAGCAGGTTGATTGATGGGATAATTTGCCCTTTAGGACGAGCGTGTAAGCGATAAAAATAGGAAAAATACATAGTATAATTCGCGGAATATATAAATTCAAATGCGATTTAATACATTCTCGCGAAATGCCTTCGGCCGTTGTCACGTTAAAAGTCACGAATTAAACATTGTTCCTTTGGATTCATGCCAGTATTTAAACGTTACAGAATATAATTACGATGCGTATAAAATCTTTTTACAAAAAAAAATGTTACAAGAAAATATTATCCAACAAAAGGCGGTGTTGAAATTGCATATACTTTTATATACTAACCTCTTAACAAAGGCAATCGTGCCAACACTTGCATACACCTTATAGCCAACGATATATTGGAACTTTGAAGATCCAATAAAGGACAATCCGTCGTCCTGACGTTACCGTTCATATTAGCACCGTTGAAAGCGATCTTACAAGGAAACCCGGTGTTCTCCTGCAAATCGTAAGCCGCCTTCAGCGAGTCCACGCTCGCGGACGCCACCAAATCGAGGCCCGAATGGAACGACGGACTCTTCGGGATGCCCAAAGGGCTCGTGTCCCGACCTGGCGTAACATGACCTTGGGCGTAGGTTGAATGAACCATTATATTTACGGATGGCGTCGCTCGATCGTATGGGACAGGATCAATTTAATGGAGAGCGTTTGGGACGGTTGTGGTCGGTTTTAGGTCGACTGGCATCGTTCGTGGGACGCGCTAACACTGCTCTGGATATATATCCAGGCTGGAAGAATTGGGGAAGCGGCCGATGGTTATAAGACAAACGGGGGTTAGGCGAGAAAGTGCAACGTTGCCGGGTTTTTACAGCCGGAAATTCACTTTTACCTAAACGGTCGATTCTTGTAAACGCTAACACCGATTGCGACAGTTTCGAATTATTAATATTGTTGCAATTATGCGGTATTCGTAGGTTTTTTAAAATTAATTGTTGAAATACTATACCACGGGAGGGAAATTTCCATTAGTATTCGATATTTATTAAACGAAAATTTATCTTCGATAATCCTTTTTATCATTGGCAATTATAACGATCGTCTGCTATTCATTAAATCAAATTTCCGACCGGCGAATTTCGCGTTCGTTATGGAAATAACTCGAAGTTGAATTTAATGAGTCGGCTCACAAAATTTCAGCAATTTTTCGGAATAACTGGCATTGATATCTCTTATTGTTAGTCGAAAATAGCGATAATGGTTCGTGTAGGAAATGTTTTCGATTAAAGATCCATTAAAACGAAGCGTTTCAAATGGTTAATTAAACGCAAGTTATTTTCGTAAATCATTAGGAAACGAATCGTCGCTTTTGGCTAGAATGGATCCTTCCGATATTTCGAGGAAACTAAAGAGCCGACAACGCCGTATGTATACAGCATTATGGATTAGTCGGGGGATGTAGGCGGAAAAAAGGACATGCACTGTGCATGCGTAACAACGTTCAAGAATTCCAATTCACCTGTTACTGCCTGCTACCCCACTGTTACCACTAACGTTCCTGCAAACACGGCAAAAGGAAAGAAAATTGATAATATACACGACATAATAACGCTCGTAATATAACAAACAACAAGAGTAAACGTACAGTTAACTCTCCGATTCCCTTCAACTCTATCCGGAATAATAACAGCGAGATTTGAATATAAATAAATCATATATTATTTTGGTTATTTGGTACGTCACTGACACGGCAGGGATGAAGAAACTCTGCCGAAGGCGGAAAATGAAACGAAATGGGGTGGAAATGCGAGGCGCTTTAGAATTATGCCTTCTAAATATTGAATGGGACTCGGGAAAGAATGCAGAAGTTGAATGCACTTTCAGCTTCGCACGTAGTTTTCAATCTAACACTTAACCCAAAGCAAATAACGGGATAAGGATTTTATTAAAATAAATTTATACAAACTAACGTTTCAATTATAGAGATTAAGTTTATAAATAAATCAATACGCTACGTGAAATCAAATACTGAAGTGATAAAATGGTAGGTAGTATAAAATACAATCTAGAAATGGAATATTACCACACTATTATTTATAAAATACTTATATTGATCCTTAAACTCCAATACCATGTGCAAGAAAGGTACTTGTGAATAACTCATAGAAAGTAATTATCATACGATTTTCTGGCAATTTAGTGAAACGGGGTTATCACATATTCACCTAACCTTGGAGTTTTGTTATACAATTGTTTCAATTTGCTCACGTTATGTTGTACGTTCAAAAGTTATTGTTGTTGTTAAGGGTTTTTTTATTAATAGAGAGATCGATTATAATGTGGATATTTCCACAATAAATTATTTCATTAGATATCGAGTATCTAACAACACAATCAGTCGCAAAATAAACTCTTATCGCCAAGTTTGTGCACCGTGTATGTAGGTTATGAAAGCATTAATAATAAAAAAGCAAAAATTCCTGGTGTTCGATTTCGCTAATGGATACTATCGGACTGTAAATGTTATTTCTTACAAATTTGTATCGCAGAATGTTTGTAATTATTTTAGATATTTCATGAACTGTAAAAATGAACATTTCTTCATTAGTTTGTTGGAAAGACTAATTAATAATAATCGTCTTTGCAAAATACTGCATTTTATTAATACTTCTGCATCATTCACACATTAATATCTAATTAAAAATAAGGGGTCGAAAAGAAAATATTATCAATTAATTCATACACAAAGTAAAGATTAATTCAGGAAAAAAATGGATCACCAAAGTATATAATATTCTTATCTTCTAATTAAGTCAGTCAGCCGAAGTGGTGCTGACATTCTAGTGACTGATAAAAAATGACCTCAACATAACATAATATAACAAAATGCACGATTTATATACAAATCAATGAACGTTAATTATTTTGCGCTTTAATTGTAAAAATTAATTTACCGTTTGTTAGCCATGTTGGTTAATATAAAACAACTTTAACGTTGAAAAGTAATGTAATAATTCAATTTAATCGAAAATTAACCATAAATAATATCCAATATATTGAAAGTTCAAATTACAAAAACAGTATCAAATTAAATTATTGGTTACATTCATAAAACATGTGAACACGGGTTAAAATCAATAACATCCCATATAGATATGTTTTGCAAAAATTTCCTATATAAATTAATAAAGTTACTGTGTGTTTGCTTAAATTTAACTCTCTTGAAAATAGATATGTACTCAGCAGTATAGTTACATATTATCCTCGTCAAACAACAGATTAACTAACGATTAAAACATTTATTACAAAGCTAAAGTTTAGTAAACATTTTACTGGTGTTTATAAATTTTTCCCGGCAATTTCGGAATACCTAGTTCATAGCTCTCTACACATATGAAAACCAAATCGGTCGCGAAGAGAAACGGTATACTGTTTACAAAAAGAGAAATTTCTCTCATTTAAAAATTTAATCAATAAAATATGTCAATATCTATGGTCACTTTTGTATCTGCCACATTTCACATACACGCATAATTAAAGCTTAAAAACTAATAAGATATTAGTTACAGGATGTTCCAAAATATTTTTTGTTTAATCGTAACAGATATCAAGCAATACTTCATTAACTTGAAATAAGCAAAATTTAGTTTTAGTATTTAGAATATAAAGAAAATACTTTTAATAGAAAATTCGGGGCTTACTATTCACTCAACTCATCATATAACAGCTTATTATTTTCCTTTTTACTGTAATGACACAACATACATTAGCTAATGAAAATAAAATAATTTTATAGCACATCATAAAAATAAATGTAACGGCTATAAATTATTCAATAATAGTGTGTCCGAAAATTGAAGCTACGATATTTTCTAATCGAATAAAATTCCATCAATCAACACGCCAAAAGAACCCTCATTAACCCTCAGTTTTATCAAAAAAAAAGTTTACTCACCTTTAAGAGGAGGCAACACTTCGAGTTCCTCGTTTCTACTGATGTTGAATCTGGATTGTCGTTTCTCCTTCCTCGAATTGGCCACAGCGCCCGCCGTCATTTTGCTCTTGCTTATGGGACTCTGAGGAGGAACAGAAACTTTAGACTGAAAAGAAAAGCACAACTGGTAAACAACACGAATCGCATGCAAACGCCCGGCAAGCAATTTACCAGATCGTCGATTTTTCTCCTCCTACGGAACAGACCGCTCAGAGCCATTGCGGTCACCGCGAAAGCCAATTCGATTAGATTTACGTTAGATCGCGAGTGAATGAAGATACGAAAAAATGTCTATCGTGTATAACGAAGGAAATGTTGGAGTAAAAATTATTTAAACAACGATAAAATTTGGCAAACTAAAATTTTTTACTTGCCAAATTTCTTTTGGAAATTTGAGTTTTATTAAATTATGATTCATTGAATGTATTTATCGGACCTAAGTGCCTAAAATCGCGATTAGAAAGGGAAAAATAAGTAAAACAGACAAGCAAATAATGTAATCAAAATAAATAAAAAGAGGAGTGTAACAATTGTTTTATCTGACTTGTTTACAAAGTTTTATTAATTAGTACAATACTTGCAAGTTGCAAGTCTTACGTAAATTAAAGCGAACAATGTACGTGCAGGGTTAAAACGCTAATTTAAAAAATAACTAGGAATCTACCAAAATTTAATCAATTGATAGCAAATCATGCGAATGTTAGAGACAAATTATAAATAATACAATTTCAACTAATCAAAATGGCTTGGATTTGTTCAAAAAAAACTGAAATAATCGCGCAATAATCATCATAATTTCCTCCTTTTGCTCCAAAACCATCAATTACAAATCCATAAAAAATGAGAAACGGATTACGCGATTCGTACAAAAAAGCAATTAAATCCGATATCAATGAAACGCGCAAATCATAACTATATCTCGAGAGAATTAAAAAATGGTTCACAATCGAAAAAAAAATGATTCACTTCCAAACTAATTACGAATCCAACATCACCAATTAACTCGACAACTCAATAACGTGCGAAACGTCCGTTCAATGTGACATGTCCATTTAGTTAAAAATAAAAGCAACAATATTCTTTTATGCTCCTTATCGAGAGAAGTTCGGTATTGGTTCAGGAAAGCGGTAAACAAATTTTTAAAATAGATCGACCGAGCTACACGCGAAACGCAAAAAGGTACTAGACAACTAAAATTACTCGTCAACAGCCAAGTGGTGTAGCGCGTCGTTTTGTTTATATACGAGGTGTACCAAAATAAAATTACCGCGAATAATATGTTGTTGCCAAATTGATCCGATTGCATAGAAACTCTATTTATCTCCATTTGTTAGTTACGAGCAAAATTTACAATGCAGTCCCTCACATTGATGGAAAATTATTTACATTTACAACTCATCCGTCAAAAAATCCATAATTAATTAGAAACAAATTCCAGAATACATTCAAGAAACTAAATTCTTCGAAAGATTCGAATTAAAATTGTCGAAAACCGTTTTTTCGAAGACACCTTGTAACAAGCGAAATTATTTGATAAAACTTATTAGCTAGGATAACATTAAAGATAAATAAAATATTTAAAGTTAAGTAGAAGCACACCTGGGCGCACAATATAATAGTATGGTGACTTGTTATCAACAATTTGAAATTACAAAAAAATTGCTTACTAAAACTAATTGTGCGCTAACATGGCAGGCGAAAATCACATTTAATGGTTTTAGATTACAGTGTGAAATTTTCAAAGAAAACGATTCTGCTTTGTTAGGAGTTAATCGACTGCAAATAAATAGATACTTTAAAGATATAGGTATATAAATAGAGGTGTATATTCTTGAGAATATAGGAGATAATAGGATGTTGAACCAAAGATATAAAAGGGTTGGATTAATTCAAAACAACCAATTATACAGCTAAACCCAGTTCTTCTGGATTTAAAAACAACCACACAGAATGGTCAACTGTTATGGGAATAATATAATTGCGAAGTCATAAGATTAAGAATTCTACATTCAACTTTTCAATTTTACTATTTAATTGTTAATTTGTAGGAATTATTCAATAGTTGGTAGTATTTATGTACAGTTGAAATTACGTAAGAATTTCAACTAAAATTTATTCTTTCCGATTTCTTTCAGTATTTTTGTAAGAAAATAACAGTAAATAATAGTCCAATAAACAGCTTATGTCTCATCAAACTTTATTCAGATACGTTTCTTCATTATTATCAGTCAACTCTAATCAAATGCGTTAAAAACAATAGATTCATAATGTGAATATTAATTCTCTCTAATGTACATTATACTTCAAAAATAATTCAAATCACTGCATCCAATTTGGAAGAAAGGAAAACACTTAATAGTAATACATTTTGATAAGATAATAAAATTAGACAGACATTAATCAGATATCTCAAATTTCCTGAAGTATCTTTTATCCCTGCGTAATTATTGTTATTCTTCCATATTTCTACAACAACAGAAAACTAGTGCAAGGATTGCTTTCGTTTCGTTAGAAATAAAGCATTTTATTGAATACCAAATTAAAAACAGAATAATTTATAACCTTGATGTTTGGACCACAACATAACGCTAGCAGACGATTTATTCTATTGAACTAATGCTGAAAATACTATTAATAAAAATTAACATAGCTCACACTCGATTAGCAAATACCTAATTAACAAAAGGAAATATGGATATTATTTATTATTAAAATCGATAGAGTCGAGGATTCCAATGTGTTGAAACTGTAAATTAATGACATTAACGTTTATTCGAAAATATTACGGAGGAGAACAATTAATTCCTCGATAAACACATTTACCTGTTTCAAATTAAGCATGCATGTTATATATCATTAGAAACAGTACAATTGTACGATAAGATGGAAGGGTTTATAAGATAAATATTTAATAATCGCCTGTACTCTACTTACGAATTTCAATTAAAAGAAACCTGCAGACAGTTAGAAATTCACAGTCTAAAAATAACTCGTAATATAAACTAACACAATACTAATATAATTCCTGCATGCATACTGTATAATCAAAATATAGAAGGAATACTCACATCTAAACTGTTTTCACTATTCCCCGTTTGTTTAATTTTCGTATCCTGAAAAATATGAAGTTTTTATTGACAAGAGAGAAGAGACACACTAACCTATTTGACACTCGAATACAAACTGATGCGAAATTTGCAATACTAACCATTTTCGATAAGTAACCCAATGTTGATTGATAAAAGCTGCTGGTCGCTGATATTGTTATTAATTAATAAAGAAATTAACAAAACAAGAATGGCCACGGCATCAACAATACTACGAAATTCCGTTACACTTCGAGTCTACCATTCACCGATTATGCGAACGTTTGCAGAGAATTAGTTGCGTGAGTAAATTGTAATGTAATGCTGGCGCAAATAAAATGTTTGCGATTAATTAATGAAAATGTTAAATTATAAAAAGGGTTAAAATATACATAGCACCGGACATTTTACGACTGTTGGTTAAAAAACGTACTAAACTAATAAATTACAGTCGGTAAAGTAGATTTCTACATTAGTGAATAAAAAACGACATTGACAGCTGACTTGACACGTTAACTTGCCAATGTTGACGTAGGTTGTCAACAAAACAAAACTTTTGAAAATTTTTAACAACTCTAGAAAGTAAATAAAAAATGTTATAGTTTTTTGTTATAGAATAGATCGAAACTAGTAAAGAATAAAAAATCAATTTCGTTGAGATAAAATGCTTTGATTTCCTATAAAATTTCTGTATATTTGTCATATTAGAAAGCTGAAATAACGGTACCCAAATACACAGACTTACCTTATCACACACTATTATGAGTTAACTGAGATTATGGCTAAGAAGTTAAGTGCCGATAATAACAAGTAAGTATTTGTTTATTATAAGAGCTGAAATTTGTTTACTTAATTTGTTTTTTAGCCAAAAATGGACCGCATTTTTGTTCATATGTTTCTTAACATTTTTAACAAGATTTTACAAACTCGAGGAACCTGATCATATTTGGTAAGCTTTTCAATAATATTTAAGAATGATTCAATATGCTTTATGGGTTTTTAGTTGGGATGAGACCCATTTTGGAAAAATGGGTAGTTGGTACATAAACCGAACGTTTTTCTTCGATGTCCATCCACCTTTAGGAAAAGTAATAATACATTAAATATGAGAAGCAGAAGTATAGTATAATTTTTTTAGATGCTGATAGGTCTCTCGGGCTATCTAACAGGCTACGATGGAACATTCAGCTTCGACAAACCAGGGGATAAATATGAAAACACTTCTTATTTAGGAATGAGAATTGTAAGACATCTATTCTAAGTTTAAAAACTAGTAATTTATTTTTATGAAAGTTTTGTAGTTCTTTGGGAGCAAGTATAGTACCGATGTCCCTGGTAGCAGTAGAAGAAATGACGGGAAGTTTATCATCAGCTCTATTTGCTTCGACATTATTACTGTTCGGTAAATATATTCGCAATTTAACAGCACTTAATCAATCAATAATTATCTTCTTCAGATGTGGGACTCATCACACTTTCGCAGTACATCCTCTTAGATCCTCTACTGCTGTGTTTCATGATGGGATCCTTCATGGGGGCCGTGAAAGTCTCTTCGAAAAACACCCGAGAATTCTCGTTGAAATGGTGGCTGTGGTTGATATTTACCGGAACGATGCTCGCTTGTTCCATTTCCGTCAAGTTCGTAGGACTGTTTATTGTGCTGCTGGTGGGATTCATGACGATATCCGATCTTTGGCACATCCTGGGAGACATGAGTAAACCTGTGGTAAGTAACTTTACATTTTAATCAATACAGGATAATTGGGTACGAAAAATAAGGAGCTTCTTAGGTAATCAACTTATATTTCAACAACTTACAAGTAAAAAGTATTGTACTATACCACTCTTTGTTGCAAACACACATCAGTAATTAACTAGCGAATACAACTAAATAGAATACATCAACTCTTTGCTTCGTTTTCATCACTTTCGTCTTTCTTTAAATACATCCCTAACGCTGTACCACCGAATAAAATAAATCCAATCGTCGAATTAGAAATGAACTTTTTAGAACAATCCTTAGCATCGTTAATTTTTAATGATACAATTTGATTAGCTAGATGAGTGGCTACTAAGCATACTGAAGCGTAATAAGGCCAAGTTTGCTCGTTCATAATACCCGCCAAACAGAGGCTACCGATCATTGTGGTACCGAAACCACTCAACCACAATTTCGTATTTTCGTTAAATCGTATGGCAGTCGATTTGATGCCTATACGTAGATCGTCGTTTTTATCCTGATGCGCGTAAATAGTATCGTAGATAATGGTCCAACAAACGCCGGCGCAATAAAGGGGCAAGCATACAGGTAGATTTAAGCTACCCTGGATGGCACTGTAACCGAGCAGAGCTCCCCAATTGAACGTAAAACCCAACACTAACTGCGGCCAATAAGTTACTCGCTTCATTAGGGGGTAAGTGCAAACTAAAGCCATCGAACTGGCCCCTAGAGCGACGCTGTACCAATTTAATTGCAATAATATCAATAAAGCGACGCTCAATTGACCGCCCAGGAATACCAAGGCTCGTTTCATGGTGATTTCGCCGTTGGCGAGCGGTCTGTCTTTGGTTCGGACGACTTTCCGGTCGATATCTCGATCCCACATATCGTTTATGGTACAACCGGCTCCGCGCATGACTAGCGCCCCTGTGGCGAATAATGCGAGCATATACGGATCCGGGAAACATCCGGGACTGGCTGCCGACGTTATGCCCCAGGTACAAGGCCAGAACAGCAACAGGCTACCGACGGGTTTGTCGAACCGCACCAGTTTTAGATACGGTTGGATCTTCTTCGGAGAGTTGTGGATTAGTTTCGTGAGTACGGTGGGTTTTTGCGTCGTTTCTTCGACATAATTCGTATAGGTGGTTGTGTTCTGTTTGATTAGAATTAAATTGCAGAAACTAACCTCGGTTTTCTTCAATAACGCCGCGGTATTCGTGAAGTTTTTTAACGCTACTCTCGACAACATCGTGGGATACCTTTGTTTTATCGATTGGGATACATTGTCACGCTGTATTAATCATTATAGAACTAAATTATATTGAAAACTAATTGCATTTTACGTTCATAGTCAAGGTTATGTCACAAAAAACCATTCTAGTTTTTTAGGTTATGATTGGTTTGTGAATGTCAATTACGTCACAAGCAAACTCGTGTTCTATGCCGGTGTTGCTAAGTCGTAAATATCTCCAATTCTGATTATAAAAAAAACAATTTGGTTTATTTAAATTTAAATACTCCCTTTATAAATTTGATTATTAAATGGTATTCTTTTTCTCAAATTCAATTGCCTCTAACGTAATTTGAGCAAGAGCATCAATTTATAAATACTTTTCATTGACATATTGCAATTTTTTTTAAATCGGTAACTCGATTTTACAGAACTTAATTGTCATGGGCAAACTATCAGAATTTATTTAGATTTCAGGAAAATTCTTTATTTTATTTATAAAAACAAATGTTAACAAAAATGTTTTAATCCGCTAAGCAATTATAAAAAATATAATGGCATTGAGATATAAGTAAAGGCGATAAGAAAAAAGGCTTGTTGTTGAGTATTTTCTAATGGCGTTTTCCATTGGTAAAAAAGTGCTCACTAAAAGTGCAATCAAAGCAAAATTTTTGTTTCATTTGATGCACTGTGCGAGTGTTTTAATTTCCATTGGCAATCTGGCCACCAAAAAACCCTTTTGGAAATCAAATCAAATAAAACAAAAATTTTGCTTCGAATGCACTTTCAGTGCGCACTTTTTTACCAATGGAAAACGCTATAAATTAGGGTTTTTATACCAAAATGGCGCATTGTAAAATTGCTCATTTATTATCGATTACAAACAATAATGTATAATGTAATTTATGTAATGTAAAAAAGTAATTTAAATTTTAATTTGAACATAATTTTATTATACATTATTATAGGTATTTTATATAATTTGCACTAATTAATATTATACCAACTTAATTAGTACGGTATAATGTGTTTTTTACAATAGGTGTTTGTTGTTCATTAAATTTTGTTAATGATCTGACAATGTATAACATCTAAAAAAATAAAATTTAGGTGTATAATTTAACCTGTCTTTTACAATATAAAAAAACAAATTCCGTTAAAACAAAATTAAAGAGCTGCGCTATCGTTCAAATTGAAATTTCCCTCAATCTTTAATTCTCTTCAACAACACCCCCATCACCGAACCAACGAACAGAAGCAACCCAACGATCGAATTCGACCTAAATTTCTCACCGCAATCCCCGGCATCGTCGATATTCAAAGTAACCATTTGCTTGAGAATATGGCCCGCAGTCAACGCCACTCCCGCGTAATAAGGCCACGTTTGATCGTTCATAACGCCCGACATAACCAACGAACCGATCATCGTAGTAGCGAAGCCGCCCAACCAAACCTTGGTGTCCTCGTCGAATTTCAACGCCGTGGATTTCACCCCGACGAGTACATCGTCCCTCTTGTCCTGGTGGGCGTAGATGGTGTCGTAGATGAGCGTCCAGCAAATTCCAGCCGCGTACAGCGGCAGGCACACCGGCCAATTCACGTGGCCTTTGATGGCGCTGTAGCCCATCAGAGCGCCCCAATTGAACGCCAGCCCCAGCACCAACTGGGGCCAGTAGGTGACGCGCTTCATCAGCGGATAAACCACGCCGAGCGCCACCGAGAACAGGCCCAAATACACCGTGAGGGAGTTGAGGCGGTTGAGCAACGCCACTCCGACGGCCAATTGCCCCGCTGAAAACAGCAAAGCCTGCGTTACGTTTAAGTCTCCGTTGGCCAACGGTCTGGTTTTGGTGCGATCGACTTTGTTGTCGATGTCCCTGTCCCAGACGTCGTTGACGGTGCACCCGAATCCCCGCATGATCAGGCAATAGCCGGCCATTATCAGCAGATGGTAGAGGTCCGGGAGGCTGCCGGCCGGCGTCGCCGAGGCCACGCTCCAGCTGAACGGCGCGAAGAACAGCAACGTGCCGATTTGCTTGTCGAATCGCATCAGCTTCAAGTAGGGTTTGATCGCTCCGGGCGAAGTGGCTACTATTCTCGAGAATACACCGTGCTCGGTTGGCGGCTCCATCGCGATCGAGTTGATTTTGAGGCTTCGTGAGAGGAAGTAGAGGCGCAAATGGAGTTGCTCGTGTTTCAGTTCGAACAACTTTGGCTCGGTGCTGATTCTAACGCCGCTATTTATCTCGTTTGTTGGTTTACTTTAGGTCAGATAGGTTTGTACGTAGTGTTTTTCTGGGTAATTTGTGGGAAATATTCATCAATACAAATTATCCGGCAAAAAAAATGAATTATATCGTATTGTATCATAATTAATAATGTTGTTTTTCTGTTAAAAACACTAATTTGCATGATTTCTACTTTTTGCTACAACCTTCGTGATTAATATGCTCAATTCAATGACCCGTGGTAAGCGTCCCTTTTTAGCGTGAAAGATCTGCTTTGAAATACATTAAAAATTAAACCCACTTGACAATTCTAATCTCTATTCCAGAGCCACACGTTGAGAAATCTAGCAGCCAGAGCATTATGTTTGATTGTCCTTCCTATAGTTTTCTATGTAATTTTCTTCTACGTTCATTTGCGCGTGCTCAACAGAAGGTAACAGTTTCATTTCGATACAATTTTCCTCAAACGTAACAATTTGATGACTCTTTCAGTGGAAACGGAGACGGTTTTTACAGTTCGGCGTTTCAATCTCAACTCATAGGTAATGCAATCATATTTATAAATCGTCGCGTTTTATAATGAATTTTCACAGGCAACAGTCTTCATAACGCTAGTATGCCTCACCAAGTAGCTTACGGAGCTATAATCACCTTAAAAAACCATCGTACAGGAGGAGGATACTTACATTCGCATTTCCATCTCTATCCAGAAGGCGTTGGAGCTAGACAGCAACAGGTAGATTTAGATGAAAAGAGGCTCTAAGGAGCTTATAGGAAAATGTACAAGTTATAATTACAGATAACTACTTACACGCACAAAGACGACAACAACAAATGGTTGATTAAAAAATACAACGCGGAACCCACCGGCGATGAGATTCAAATCATCCAAAACGGCGATTTGGTGCGCTTGGAACACCTACCAACCAGAAGAAACCTCCATTCGCACAAAGAGCAAGCTCCCATCACTAAGAAACACCTACAGGTAAACTCTTCGCTATGTCAGTAAGGCGGAAATTATGAGAATTTATCGGTTCCAGGTGACCGGCTACGGGGAAAACGGAACGGGCGACGCCAACGACGTCTGGAGAGTGACGGTGGCGGGCGCGACAGTCGGCAGCGAAATAACGGCGGTGACCACCAAGCTGAAGTTGGTGCATTATCTGCAATCCTGCGTCCTCACCACCAGCGGCAAGCAGCTACCCAAATGGGGATACGAACAGCAAGAGGTCACTTGCAATCCGAATTTGAGGGATCCGAACGGTTTGTGGAACGTGGAGGAGAACGTTTTCGACAAATGTAAGTCTTGTCGATGGAAAGTAGAAGGTAGAAACGTAATATCTTAGAATAATGGAGAGTATATCATAGTACTCTAGGACTGGACACTAAATCTAGCATCAGCATTGCACCTTCGAAACCTCCTCTTCCCCAATCCAAAAGTACCATCCTCGACGACCATTGGGATCCAATGAACCTTCTAGAAACTTCCTAAAGCCTTCTAAAAACTTCCAGAAACCTCCTAAAAACTTCCTGAAACTCTTTAGAAACTTCCTGGAACATATTTAGAGATTTTATGTTTTGTTATTTCAGTACCAAACGTGAGTTTTGAGGTCTACGCTCCGAGTTTTTTGGAAAGATTCTTGGAATCCCACGCAGTTATGTTGCAAGGGAACGCAGGCTTGAAACCCAAAGAAGGCGAAATAACATCGAAACCATGGCAGTGGCCGATTAACTATAGGGTGAGCTAAGAGTGTAAAATTGTGCGGATATTTCTACAATTTTTTTTGATTTCAGGGTCAATTTTTCTCGGGCACCCAGTACCGGATCTATTTACTGGGCAATCCGGTAATTTGGTGGGGAAATTTGGTTTTTATAGTGCTGTTTTTGATCGTCTTTGGGGCGAATGTAATTAAACTTCAAAGGGGTTACATCGAATCGTTCCAGGATTCTCATAAGAAAAAATTGTCCGCTTGCGCTTGGCTTTTCGTAGGATGGGCGTTGCATTACGTGCCCTTCTGGGCAATGGGGCGCGTCCTCTATTTCCACCATTATTTCCCAGCTCTTCTCTTCAGTTCCATGATAACAGGTACCTAATTTTGCTCGATCGATTTTGTATCTAAATTATTCGTTTATTCTAGGAATCCTAATCGATTACATACTCGAAGAAATCCCATGCTATTTCTCGGGGCGGAACGCTCAAGTTGTCTACCAGATTTTATTAGGACTGATTGTGTCGACGCTTATTTATAGTTTTTATTTATTCGCTCCACTTGCTTATGGAATGTCTGGGCCATTTGCAAACGAGCCGAATTCCACCATGCATGGGTTAAGGTGGATTGAAACGTGGGAGTTTTGAGATATTTAATAGTATTTATTTAATTATTGAAACGTCTATTTTTATATAAATTTATTTTTTTATTATGTTGAGTATAAATAAGTAAAACTACGATTAGCTAACTTGCATTTCAGTCTTTTATTAATACTTGTTAACAAGTAAAACTTAGTAATCCGAATAAAAAAAGAACATAAATAAACCTTTTATAAATAATAACTAACTTTTATGAAACGTTCAACAACAAAAAAAATCAAAGTCGCATTGTAAAAAAAATATTAACGATCGTTAAAAAAAATTAACTTTCCTTCGCTCCCCGCCAGACCGACAGGGATCCAATCACAAAATTCAATTCGGCTTCCCATTTGCGCAGATCCTCGTTCGTGTCGGCCGATAGAAAAAACCTCTTCGACTCGCCGGTGTCCGGTTGCTTCACGGGCAAGGCCAGCGTTTTCGGCCTTGCACAAGCACTTCGTTCAGCCAGCACCACCTTCCGCGTTGTACACAGTCTCAAGTCGATTTCGTTCAAAGGCCGCGTCGATTCCTCGCACGGGTAATTCCAGTACTTCAGGAAACATCCATCTGCAACAAAAAATAAATATATTAGCAAAAGAATCAGTAAGTGTATAATTGTTATTACCTAAAACGCACCAACGTTTGTTCCAGGTTAATCCTCTGTTACCGCAGCGAATGCCGACGCTTAAAAATCCGGTGAATTTGTTAGTTAATTCCATTCCAGTGTCTATGTGTAATTGGAAGTCTGGTTGGAGGTAAGGGCACAAGTAGCCTTGTTCTAACTCCAAATTCAGTTTGTTATTACGCACGTTCGACAAATCGGATTTAGTTAAGTGCGAACTTCCTACTAATACGAATAGTTGCTCGGAAGTTCCGCTAGATATTTTGGGTAGTTTGGGTTGTTTTTTGCATCTGAAAATGCTCTTGGAACGAAGACATCCGATGTGGCTCTTCTAAAAAATATATACATTTTTATTCACTTTTTTGAGTGGTGTTGAATGTAAATTACTTACCCGATTTTTGCGGTCTTCCGTCCTCAAACCCAAGGAAAACACGAATATGGAAATTTCGAAATCTTCGGACAAATTCTGGAAATTGAAATGCTGGTAGATTTCTAGAGCACCTTTATGTTCCTTCAGGAGTTTACTGGCCAAGACTTTCGTCCCGCTGAGCAAAACCACTAGGAAATGCTCGTTGAAATCGTCGTGACGAGAATCCAATTCTTTAAATTTAAACAAAATTTTCGAAATTCTAACTTCCCCTTTACAACCGCGCTGGGAAGTATTACAACGCAAATCACTCGACAGCGCATTTATTTTATTTACCAGCGCTTCTTTAGCTAATTCTACAATAAAAAATCGGTTTAGATTACACATTACATACTGTATAAAAGTACTTACTAGCTACTAAGAATATCTTTTCCGCTTCCAATCTTTCCCTACCGAAAAAATGCATCTTCGAAGTTTTACAGACGTCCAGAGCTTTGAAAGTTTGGCAAAGTATCAAGTTTTGCTTGAACAATTCCTCTTGGTACTGCTCGAGCACATCTTCCGACTTGTTTTCGCCTTCTGTAGACGATTCCGTTGAATTCGCTTTAGAAATTAAGCAAGACACATTCGATGTCTGTATACTATCCTCGTACAGCTGACTGTTATCTTCAACTGGCTAAAAATGTACCCAACCTTTAATAACCTTTGCATAAAATTAAAACATAACACTTGCGATTTATTGGAGTCATTACAAATTTTTTAAGCATATTAAAATGTAACTTACGGTTATGTACTCGGGATCAAAATTGCCCAAATCCCCGATTGCAGTAGCCAAGAACTTATTGGGATCGTACTCGAAGAAACTGTTGGATGTATCATCGTTATTATTGCAAGAATCGCTAAAATCATCGACGGAATATTCGGTGAGATCGGCCTGATGGTACTCGAAAACAGTGCTCGAATCGTCCACAAGATTCGACGACAGGGAGATCGGCGAGTACCTGCAACGCGAAATTCTAAATATTAGTACTATACGCGGAAAGTAACTAAATTTATTTACCCGTAACCTTGAACTAGATATTGTCCGAAGGAAATCGAACGTATTTATTCTCGGCCAGCCAGATAAATACGAGAATGAGTACCGTTAAACAGACCGAGAGTTTACCGAGCAACACGTAAATTGTCATTTTACGATTTTTGATTTTACTCGGAAATAACTGGCCGATGTCAAATAAAATAGGCACAATCTACCGGATGTGGCGCTCTTGCGATAACTGGTTACGTTAAAACGTTACTTTAAACTTAATCAGTTTCCTCATTGCATAAACTATTCGACTTTAAAAATAACCAACGCGCTCCCACATCACTTCGTCAATTATAAATAGAATTCTGACCGCAGAAAAAAAAAACATCTGTCCATAACAAACTCATGAATAGGCTTAATTCCTACGATGGATAAATGATAGTTTTACATAATGAAATAATTAGGTACTCTCCAAAAAACAAGGCCATATTAGTATTTTAATTCATGTTAATGTTATACTGATGGGCGACTGGAAACGATTTTTGGTGGATATGTAGATTTTTTTTAACAATTGTGTTGGTAACACAGTTGGTTGTTATTTCAAATGTGACATGTAACTGTCATTTTGACAGCGGATAATTAATTTTTCAATATCCAATTTAAAGTTTTCATCAAGTAGGCAACATGTCACCTGTCAAGTAACAATCTATTCTAGAAATTCAATTTAATAAATTAAACATTTTACATCATATAATTCCCAAAATTAGCAAACTCTCACCCGAAAAATTCGAGTTTATATAAAAAAATAATTCATCAACTCACCTTTGGAGATTGCTATTCTCGCTGTAATCATCCTCGGATTCGCTTCTCCTGCAGAGCCTCCTGCGATACATCTTGTTGCAAATGTAATTCAATTTATCTTTGTACTCGTTGATAATGATGTTGTGTATTATAAACGAATCGGTGCAATCGATGTGAGCTTTTTTAAGCAAAGCAGTCATGCCCATAGTGGGCTTATTGTGGATGTATTCGCGAGAGCTTTGATAGGAATTGGTTTTGTAGAAGGAAGACCGTCTGGAGTTTTGATCGAGTATCAACGAATTGCATCGCCCTTTATTATTGGTGAATTGGTAATTACTTCTATCGTTCATTTTTATCTCTAATGTTGTTTAATTTAGCATTACAATGTTGATTCAAGAGTCGATAGTGGAAATTCGGGTGTCGAATTATCTGTAAATTTAAAAGTATTTATGTCGAAACTTAGAAGTACAAATGTACAAGTTTATACAATAATTATATGTTAATTGAATATTGAATATTGCCATAAATCAATAATTTATACCTGTTCATTCGTTAGAAACGTGGCAAAATAAACATTAAAAAAAGAAGTAAACTCGCCTGATGATTCTCAGTAAATATTTACAAAGTACCATTTTGGGTGATTTCTTACAAATTTAGGTAAATATATCTAATTTCACTTACATTTTCACTTAAACAATTGATCGAAAATTGTCTTACGTGGTATTTTTATACAATACAATGCACCAACTGAACACAATAAAAATAATAACACCGATTTTATTACTGTAGAGTGTAGATAAAAACCACCGCAGTTAAAGCAGCCGAAACGCATCTGTTGCAAAACCCGAGATGTAATTTTGAAAATTGTGTTTTTTTCTGCACGAGGGTAACCGAATGAAGTTTACTTTGTTAGCGAAGTTCACTCGATATTTATATTTTTTTCTGCAAACTTGTTTAAGTGTGGGATATTGATTTCTGTTGACGATATTTTTCTGTCTAATTTTTTTAATCATTTGAGCAAATATTCAAAATTTCTCATTTTTGAATCAAATAACAATCTTGCGTTTTTTGCCCGAATTTTAAGTATCTGTTTTTCAATGCTATGTATTATTCCAAAAATCTCACTTTATCTAAATCCGCGTATTTACACCTGTAAATACTAAAAAATAAGTTTTGTATATTTTTCATGTTCCTTTCATCCACTTAGGTATACTAAGATCACATTTAAACTACATTTAATCAACCCACTGAAATCTATATTATTTTAAAAACAGTTAGTAAATTCGAAATAACTTACCAATGTACCGGAAATATCCTCTCACAATTGCCGAAATCGCTTGAATCTCGAAAGCATTCTCACCGGGACTCGTTATCAACACGAACTGGCCGTCGAAATTCGACGATCGTAAGCAAATATTTAATTAGGGGAGGGCGTTTGAAGGGCTAGATACGCGTTAGCGCGTCCTAATTAAATTATTTTTCTCCTATTCGCATTGCAAACGAGATTAAATTGTACATTTTTGTTGGTTTCTTTCGACTGTTCCAATGTCACTCGGATAATGAACGAAGTCGCGAATAATCTGCTTCGAGCGTAAAAAGTTGATGAACTTTTGTTTATTAAAACTTAAAACAACACCTGATAAATGTTGTTTTTCTATGAACTAGAAGAAAATAGGATTTGATCAAAGTACAGAGTCATTCAAAAATTCCATATCGGTTATCTTGATTGTTATGTTGCATTGTTTAAGTGTAAGAATTTTCCTAATGATTTCAAATTTATGTTGTAAAAATATTTTTGTCTTTGGTTTATGAAGGGACCTGTTGTGATTTAAACACCAAATAAATTAGAGTAAAGTGCATTTAAACATATTTTATTACAAAAAATTCTAACAATAATAATACAAAATTTTAGCATTCAACGGCAATTCAGAGGCGTATTTATGTAAATAGATTTTTTATAAGTAGCACAATGTTACTCTAACGAATTTAATAAAATTATACAGTAATCACACATTTCTATAATAGTTCCATTTTTAATTAACTATGTGTATTAACTATTCCACTCAAGATAAATACAAAATTCAAAATTAATGGAAATTATCGCAACCGTAAATTTTGAATAGTTGTACAAAGAGTAAATTGTACTGTCGCTATTTTTTTACTAACAGTTAACTCAAGTTAACACATCTCACTAGAGTTCAAAATTTAATGGCAAAATAAACTTTACGATTCATGCGAAACGAACTTGGGTGGATTCTCTTTTTAAGTGTACCTATTATGCAAACAATTTAATATACTGATTGTGAGTAATCTGCAAAATATATTCAAATTAGAATCTTGTGTAGAAACTCAGACAATCCTAATTTTTGTCTATTATACAAGACACAAGAAGATACTTCTTATCCTTCTTATAAAAACTTCGAGCAATCCCGAATATGCTCGAAAGATTTATCACCACTACACTTCAACATCCCCGTTCATTTAACCGATATTATTCAAACGTTAACCGGCTTCTGATTCGCCTCGTCGACCTCCTGGCCCCGGTTCTCGATTTTCTCGGACCCGCTCTGCCAGCCGGAGTCCATCGTGCCGTCGCTGTGGCACGCCTGGCCCTGCACCTCGTCGTCGGCGTTGGCCTCCTCGTAGAGCAGCCCCACCGCGTTGCCGCCGAGGTTCTGAATCAGCGCCGATATGTTCGAGCCCAGGTTCCGCCTGGCCGATTGGTTCAAGTTCAGCGTCTTCGGCGGGGCACAGCTCCGGCCGAAGCCCGACTTGCTCTGATTGTAGTAGTTCTGGTCGTAGTTCAGGCCGGATATCGTGTTGGTGAGGTTGCTGGAGCCCTGCCGGTAGGCCTCCTGGTTGGGGACGAACTCGTACTGGGCGTCGGGCGCCAGATAGTGGCCCGCCGAAGGGCCGGCGAAGGTCCGGTGTTTGGGCGACGGTTCGCAGGGTTTCTCTTGGAAGAAATTGTTGCAACACTCGTCCGGGGAAATTGTGTCGTCCGTGGTTTCGGTTAGAGGCGTTTGTATGCTGCTACAGAGGCTGTTTTGCGATATGTCTTTGGGTAGAAGTTGCAGGCAAGAGTCCGCGTTGAATTCTAACTCGTTGGAGTCGGGCAACGGGAATGGTATTCTACTTCTGGTAGACAACTGTCGATTTCCCATTCTGTGCGCTAGGTAATCCTCGTCTTCCGTTACGGTGGACGAGGAAATGTTTTCTTGGAACGTTTGTAGCAACTGATTGGTGTTTACGTCTTTCGGATCGGTGTTTTGGAGCGATATTAACCTGGGTTTTTGGGATTCCAAGGCTTCATCGTACAACGAAGAATCCTGCCCGTCGTTTCTCACCGATATATTACAGCAGCTGCTCACGTCAGCGAAGTACACCTCCGACTCGCTCGGCTCCGGTTTCTGTGGACTGGCTTCTTGCTTCTGGAAAGCAGCGTTTTCCACCCCCTGCAGTCTCGGCAGGAACCGGCATTTCTGACTATCCGCGCCCTTCGCGTCCGGCGCGTTCGGCTCGTGGTAAGCGTGCTCGGCCTCCTGCTTGCCCTCCTCCTGCGCGAACACGCTCTGGACGTTCGCCCGGGCGCCCGATTGCGCGCTCGACTTCACCGACGCCATCTCCACGCGCTTCTTCATCTTCCTCGCCGGCAGCGTGTGCGAGACGCGATCGACGCAGCTCGACGCGTCGGTGCTCTCGCTGGTCTCGTTGGCGCGGTGGATCTCGGGCTCCGTGGTGTTCTCGTAGTTGTCTTTGGCGTTGTAGGCGGGCCGGGCGCGCCGCGACGCGCGGAACTGGTGGCTGTCGTTCATTTGACAGTGGGACTCGTGGCCGTGCGAGTGGTGGTGGACGTGGTGGTAGCGACCGGGCGAATGCGTCGGTCTTCTGGCTGGTGAATTGGGGTTCGAGTAAGGAGGCGGCGGGCCCCACACGTACACTCCGCCGACTGGAGGACGGTTGTCTAGTATACTGTAGGATCCGGTCGAGCCGGCTAGTTGATCTTGGGCGGCGTTTTCGCCGGCTGATCGATTGCTGAAGCCGTATTGGCTGTCAGCGCTGCTCACTACACCTTGATAAGTCATGGAATTTTCTCTGTAAATAACAAACAATACAATCGAGATATTAATGCTAATAAAATTTACACAAACCTGTGAGAATCAGTCTGTTCTACGTTGCTCCTGTTCCAAGGCAACCTTCTCCAGTTCCACCCGCTGGTGCTTCTAACCCTTGTATGAGTATCGGGCATGTTAGTCGTTCCATCTTCGGGATTGGGAGAATAAAAATTTCCTATACGACCCGGAGCCCAAAATCTATCAGAACAAATTAGTACCAATAAAATTTTCGTGCACCTGCAAATCCACTTACCTCTCGGTATTCAGATGATTATCCCAGGGGTAAACCTGCGGAGCGACCGGCACAGGCGGATATCTGCACTCCTCGCAGCAACTGCAGTATGTGGACGGTGGTACCGGCGGTCCTCTAACGGACCCTTGATTGCTCGACGGTCCGGAGTGCTGCTGGTAGAACGATCTGCATCTCATCTCCAGTTGTTCCCAATACATTTTCTTCTTCTCGTGACTGGAATAGTACGATTGTAGAAGTATTCTACCGAGTTGAATTTCGCATTACCTTAGTAACTGGTAGACGAGCATGCAGGAAAAAATGCACACTAATATTCCGCTAACCGATAGGCCGAACATCGCTCTCAGGCACGAATAGAGGGCTCCGTGGATTACCTCACAATCTGGGGTCGAGTCAAACACGTATCTCATACCTTAAAAATCGGATAAATCGCGTAAATATTGATTAATGGGAAAAATAATGGGGTAATTACCGTCGTCTGCGGACGCGTGAGCTTCCAATATTACTGAATAGCAGGTACATGTTCTGGTTTTTGCCGTATAAACGCATTCTCTGAGCGTTTGCAATCTATTCATATGAATGACTGTGGTTGTAATCGTGACCAATACGCACGTTAAGGCACACACTAAGCAACAAAGGCCACAAACTTTTATCTGGAAACAGCAAATATTCGATCAATTCATATCTCGAAGATCGATATTCAAATACTTACCAAATAACTGTATCTGTTTTTCCTTCTGGCCAGACTAATTACACACAGCCCCGTTAAAATTAACTGAAAGAAATATTCGATTAGAGGACTAATTGAAATTTTTAATTAGTTATAATTACCATAGTGGCAGGAACGAAGGTGGGAATCGTCTCGAAATATCCCAATGTGGATGTGTAGGATCGAAGTAAAAAGTATACAGCCAGAAATAACGCTCCCAAAATTGTTGATAACCCGCCACAAGCGCAACACCAGAACACATATTTCCTAATTCCGCTTCCACCATGAGGAGCTGAAAAAATTAATGGAGAGAAAACAAATTAGAAGACAAGTCGGAAAGAAATGCAAAAGTAATAGCTAAAACTGTACCCATAAAAACACTCTATTCACAGTGTTTTAGATCCCGAAAATTTCTCTTAATAGCCGCTTCAATTCAAACCGAAAAAATCTTTAATAAAGCGCTTACCAGTGTGTGGTAAATGATGGGGATATGGTTGAAGTGCAGGCGGTATGTGGTACTGCACCACCTGCATAACAGGATAACCGTGCATTTTTCCGAAACTCTGCTCAAGCTAATTCTAAAGTGCACATTCTTATTGTCCAATATTTCACATTATCACAAAAACAAATCGATAAACAACCGAACTTTTTACACCGTATTGCCTCCTACATCTCGGTACACCTTCGCGACAACATGGTTGTATGTCAACTTTTTTACAGAGGCTGCGAATCTTGCATGAATTTTGATTTTAGGCCGATATCATTTCGTAACACAGGACCGAATTGCGCCCTTTATAACTTATATAAAATCACTAGAGATTCTGTTAATTTTACTTGTTCTAGTAGTGTATTACATAAAGTTTTTCCGTTAGAAATCCTCCGTTTTTTCTGAATTAGAAACTGATTACAAATACACAATAATTTAATAGAGTCTTCTATAAACCACCCTTAAATCCAACCCTGCCCTAACAGCGTCGCTATAGCAACGCCGAAGTCTTTTCTGTCTAATAGTCAATATCTCTTCCCACTCTGTCCCTGTTTCCTTCCTCCACCCCGTATCGCGTCGTCCCGCTTTCCAGGATCGCGTATAATTTCATTTCGACGAGCGCGCGGATGTCATTTCATTACGTTTTAATCAAGAATAGTGCTTTTAAATAATTTTCCACTTGCCGCCCGACTAGCAATCCGGAAAATTGAAAACGGCGGCCTTGATAGGCCGTCATGCACGCCTCGTTTGCTTTAGTCACCTGGAGGTTGTTATCGAGGAAAGTATGAAAGTAGATGCATTTTTCCAATAGTATTTTCAATACATTGTTTAACCAAAAACCTAAACTTCCATGACCACTATTTTTTCATTAGTGTTGTAGCTACTGAAGTGTTAAATATTTCGGGTAATACCATCGTCAGATCCAACAAAACTAGCGGGAAAACAGCTTATCATTTGAAACAAATCAAATTATTGAATTTTTTCCATTTTAAACACTTAGGTCTTTAGGATTTTGTGGTACCACACTTTTGCTATACAATTACGAACTTTTATTCTAGATCTTTTATTATTAATGTATTATCTAATTTTAAGAGGGATTAAAGAAGATACTTCAACGTGCTCTCTACTATTAAAAAGGGATTAAATGTGGCAGGTAAACTTACATGTTCGAGAGGTATACCTGGAACCGAGGCTGCCATCGAACCTAGGCCGAGGGGGCGGCCTGGGGGGCAGCGCTGGCGGCAACGGGGAGACTTCTATCCGGTCGTCGGCGTCCGATTTTCGTCCTTGTCCGGTCTGTTCGAAGCCTTCGGCGGTCTCGCAGTCCTCTTGAATGTGGCAAGTGCACGAACCGCCCTTGTTTTTGAGGGCGCGTTCCGTCTTTGGTGATTGACTGTGTATCATGTTGTGCACGTGGATCGAAGCGTGACTGGTGTTTACGATTTGCTGCACGGGCCCCGGCCGGTTCGCCACCATGTGGGACAGGCCGGACTCGTTTTTGGGATTCGAAGGGGCCTTCTCCGAGCACGTGCAGGCGTGGACGTGGCCCAGGAGCCCATGGTCGCTGGTCTCGCTGGATTGGTACGTGAGCTCCGCTTTCTGGTGGTCCGGTGATGGGGATGACATTTTTTTTCTTGTTTTATTCGATCACATCTCTAGTTGTTTCATCCGTACTACAAAAAAATGTTTCATATTAACTACACGTTAAATTATTTTATTTTGAATAAATTAATGAATTTATTTGTATTTTAGTAATAAAGATAATTTTTGGTTTATTTATTAGTAATAAAGAAATAATTCTATTAATAAAAAAATATTCGAAAAAAAAATAAAAAAGTCCTGCCTCCTGTGAGGATTGAACTCACGACCCCTGGTTTACGAGACCAGTGCTCTACCACTGAGCTAAAGAGGCAACCATCATGACGGATCGGATTCTCACTCATAAAGTACAATACATAATAAAATATTTACAGTAACGATGACCCATGAAGGTGCATTTATAATTAATTTACTGGTTCTTATAAAACTAAGAACTCTTATTAGTGCATTTTCAATGCAATTTTGTTTATTAAAAAGAAACCTATTAACATATATTTATGAATAGAAGATAATTAGGTAGGTATAGTAGTACTTTAGCTAGGTAGTACTTTTCATAGTTCAAAGAAAATTGACATGTTTCACTCATTTTCTTAACTTTATCACAAAATATTACCTTGGGTGCCAATCTTAAAGTACTATTTTTACGTTTACAGCAACTAAAAGTGTCTAAGGGTGAGGTATTTTATAAGGAGTAACCATTTTCCCACATTCTTAGCAGGTAGATAACTGAAATTTGGTCCCAAAGAAATCACTCACGTGCAAAAAATTCCAGAAGGAATAAGCAAAGGTATCAATAGAACTGCGAACAATAAAATTAATGGGGAGCTGAGGAATTTATTTGCAGTGTAGTACAATAGAAGAAGCTATTTGGTTAGGTCACATAATTGTTAGAGTGGGTGGTGTGGTAAGGTAGAAATCAAACAAAATGTATCAAAAGGTACCTATACCTATATCTACCTGAACGAAAGATGGTTAGATTATTATTAAAAACAAAAAGTTTCAGAACTTTCTATACCTACTTCAGGTACTTTCTTTTCATGTACTTGTCCCTAGTTTAAAAAATATTGAAGGATTGTTCTAAATTGAAGATAGGTGCTGTTATTTACCTATTTTTTTAAGGATTGTATGCACAATAATTATTTTTAACGCAATGCACAATGTACTCTTAATTAGGTAAGTAGGTACTCAAGATTCCTATTCCACCTGTCAAGTCAATTATGTAATTAACACCCAAAAAGTACCATTTGCAAATTATGTTGATCCTACTAAATTTAGTGAAAATTTCAATTAAAAAATATAGAGACAATCTCCATAAATTTTACAAGATTCCATACCGAGCCAGAACGTCAATTACATATACCTACCTACCAATAATAAACTGTTATAACACCGCACTTACCCAAGAAGTTCCCGTTCTGACCGATCATTCATATCATTTCCAATCGGCACGTTCGAAGATTTTCACATTTTCTCCGCCGATAATAACACTAATTCATTTTCGATCGCGTACCGTGGACACTTCGAGATAAGAAAAAACCAGTACGATCGACGATCACTCTTCAGCACCATCAACTGTCACACGGTTTTGAAATGAAAACCGTCGGATGCGTTTTTGCGAGAGTTCACGGAACTTGGTGTGTTTACAGTTGGTTCTCGGAAACCGAAAATACCGGGTCCGATGCGACATGTGCTCGATGTCGTCCGTCGATGGCGAATGCGGTATGCAGTACTGTCGAGAAAAATCCGTGAAAGAATTATATCGGGGGATGTTCGAACTGGACCAACGTTCTCTTATTCTTCGACTCGTCGGTGCGAGAACGGAAAGGCTTTCGCTTCGTGACCAGACGCTCTTCGACGGCAGGCGATATTGGTACTTGAGGGCTCCTTCGGTTAGGTTGCGTACCGTTTGGTACCGTCGTGGGTTATTGGCATTTACTGCGAAATGGTAGAGTAAGGAAGACCTTGACGGAAGAATGCTATCCCTACCCTGTATATTGGGTATCCGAGCGGCTTTTTAGTTGAACGCATATCGGATCTATGGTACTCGGCCACGTTACCAAGTCTTCTACGATATCTTCATCTTTCAAGACATTTCAATTAGGTATGTGAGAGGCTTTTTATATGTTGGGAAATAACAAACTAAAATTGCAATTAATAGGTACCCTACCCTACTGTATAATTACACTACAGGTACTTTAATTTAAATCTTATTTTTTGTTTTAATAAACTCATTCAAGAAATTTACAGATCTTTTAATGAGTGTACAACTTACTTACAAGATTTATTCTAAAGAGTCTATAGCTATATTATAGATATTAACCTTTTATTACAGAAAGTTTTAGAGAAGAATTTGCAAACTTTATAGTGGAAACCTTATAGTGGTACCTTCAGGATATTATTTCCTGGATCAAAACTAATTTTACTTTAATTTAGAAAATAAAATTATTTTCTAAATTTTTGGTGCCTGCCAGAAAAACGTGCAACAATGCCGAAGAAGCGGTCAGAGGCAAATGCACCGGTAGGTACTCATACTACTTCGGTGTTCGGTGGGAAAATTTTAATTATTTGTCTTAAGGCATGGAATGCGAGTGGCTTCTTTAACGTTTTAGGCAATCATCATTTAGTTTTACTTGTATAGGTTTTATAGGTAACGAAAAATACTTCAATATTGGAATTTTGGTTCAATAGCTGGTGGGTAATTAAGAAGCAATTTCTGGGAATTTATGAATTACTACTGAGTGAAAAAATAAAGAAAAGACCATTTATTTCATTTTTTTATATCCTCAGAGACTTTTATACTGCACTATTTTTATTACCAATTGAACATTTTCTTCAGGAAACACCTGTAATAGAATGGAGCAAATACCCTCAGAGTAAGAGACGACATAAGGAATTGTTTACTTCAAACAATCACAAGTACTAATAAATTAGAGAAATTATCTCAAAATACCTGTAACAACAGTTATTTTTCATCGCAATAATATCAAATTAGTGGCCCTTAAAAAAAGTATGTAACTGTTTGCCTTTTAGTAACAGGACCAATAAGATTTGTAAAAGAATAAGAAGACAACCAACTGTTGTTTGGTGTTTTGACTTTTGTTGCTTTTTAACCGCTTGAGTTCGTGTTTTGTTGTATAATTTGTTTAATTTCTTTTATTATCTTTTGTTATTGACGTTCGAGTGTGAATTACCAAGTCAACTTGCATTTACTTATAAGTTAACAATTCAGTTTTTCTAAATTTTCACAAATTTCCTTCAAAATTAACCTTTCTTTACATGTTCCTGTAGTTCATCTTTTTGGTTGATTTTGTTTAAGCATGACATTCGAAAGGAATTATACTTACGAAGCTTTAAACAGCATCGGAAGAGGTAAGTTATACTTTAAAAAATATTTTTCCATAAACTACAAATTATTTTTAAGCCTACTTAGATTCATCACATTGTTAAACAAACACTTTTTAAATGCCATTATTTTGAACTTGAAAATTCAGGAATACCCTCTTAACTACTTCTTCAATTAGAAGCTACAACTACTTATTTCCTGCTTAATATACATTCGATCTTTATTATAACAACACTATTAATAATTAACTCGAAAAATACATGTTCAATTTATAATATAATTGCTAATTTCAGGGGCATATGGGACTGTGTACAGAGCCAAAGACAAGAAAACCGGCACTGACGTTGCTTTGAAAAAAGTATACGTACCGTTAAACGAAAATGGTGTCCCCGTCAACATGCTCCGAGAAATAACATTACTGCGACAATTGAACGCTTCCGATCACCCCAACATTGTTCGCCTACTAGATGTTTGTTACGGACAACAAGTGGAAAAAGAGCTGCTCATGTACTTGGTAAATACTTTTAATCCACATCGAAGAGAATTCGTTCAACGAATTAAACATCCTCATATTGTATTAGGTGTTTGAATTCGTCGAGCAAGATCTGGCAACGTATATCGAAAAGAATCCGAAAGGATTCAGTACCGATCACATCCGGAACTTATCCAGGGAGATTCTGAACGGTGTGGATTTCTTGCACGGGAATAGAGTCGTACACAGGGATTTGAAACCGCAAAATTTGCTAGTTACCTCCGATGGGCATATTAAATTGGCTGATTTCGGTCTAGCTAGGACGTACGATTGCAGTATGAAGCTAACTTCTGTTGTAAGTTACTTTATTTTTATCATTAATGATAATTCATTGATAAGTCGTTAATTTCAGGTGGTTACTTTATGGTACAGGGCTCCTGAGGTTTTGTTAGGACTGACTTATGCTACTCCTGTGGATATCTGGTCTATAGGCTGTATTATTTATGAACTGTTCTCGTTGAAACCGTTGTTTTGCGGTACAACCGAAGGTGATCAACTCAGCAAAATATTCAGGTAACAAATTGCTAATAATCAGCTCAGAATAGTTCTATTTGTTTTTTTTAATAGGATTATTGGAAAGCCTTTGGAAGAGGAGTGGCCCGAAGAGACAGTATCTATCAAATGGAGTTCCTTCGATGTCATCAATCAAGTTAAAATTAATCACTTATCACCAAATATCGACGAGACTGCTGAAAATTTAATAAAGGTAAATTTTGTAAATGAGATTGAGTAAATTGAAATTTTCCAATATTTTTCAGAGGATGTTGATTTTCAATCCCAAAAACAGAGTTACAGCATCGGACGCTTTGAATGATCCATTTTTCACTGAAGAACCTTTAAATGTCTAAACTATTTTTTAAAATTCCTTTATAATTCTAACAATAATTATATTTTTACACCTTTTTTATTAAGTTCATTTACAGGTCATTATTTTTATAAGTTTACAACATCTCTTTTTTTTAATAATACATACTTTTAAATGTGCCTAATTGTTGATGCTGTAAAAGCTATGTTAAAAATTTGTAATCGATTACAAATTCTTGTAATAAATATCTTTATCTTTTTATATAACACAAATAACTTATCTTTCTATAAAATATTATAAAATATCCCTTTAATCCCACTTTAATCCCAATTCTAATAATTTACCATTCTGGTTCTTGCTCTTCTGGCAATTCTAAAGTTTCTGGCGTTATTTTAAACAGCAGTGCAATGAACAAATTTACACTAGGATATGGTAGAGCAGAATAGAGTAGATTCAGACTAGAGTAAAGTAGAATAGATTCAGACTAGAGTAAAGTAGAATAGATTCAGAGTAGAGTAGACCTGAGTAGATTCAGACTAGAGTAAAGTAGAGTTAGATTCAGAGTAGAGTAGAGCTGAGCAAATTCAGACTAGAGTAAAGTAGATTAGATTCAGAGTAGAGTAGAGCTGAGCAGATTCAGACTAGAGTAAAGTAGAGCAGATTCAGACTAGAGTAGAGTAGATTCAGAGTAGAGTCACAAGTACCTATCTCGGATTAATTCTAACTTAAATTGGGCTTAATAAAGCAGCTAACAATAAAAATAATAAATGTTTATATAATTATAAAAAATCAGTCGGATCAAAATATCCAATAAAAAATCGTACCTAATAGTAATAAAAAATAATTCAATAATATTCGCAAATACATTTTTTATTCTACCGGTAATTTCAAAATGAGAAATGCAAACGAGTATATCCATATTTAAATAGTATCGAAGAAACTGTCCTTTTATAAACAATATATTTGGCGTGGCCCCAACAAATAGAATCAACAGACAAACTTCGTAAAGATACGAGGGGCGTCGGGGCGGCTTCTTCGGGGCGTCGTCGGAATATCCAAGACGTCGGTGGGCCACGTGGCCTTCAGACACCGGCGTCTAAATCACGGGGCGTCGTCGAATCGTCGAAGCGGCAGGGCGTCTCGACGCGTCGCGTCGGTAGGGGAATCCCAGTAGTCGGGATGGCCTTGAAGGAGCGTCGGAAAATTACAACTACTCTAATTGAATTTCCCATTGTCAATAATGCCCCTCACTCAATACGCTTCGTATATATTTAATGTGGTTTTTTTCCACGCTACAATGAACGCTATCTCTAAGGGAAATGATCGAAAAATTCTCGCGGAAATCCGCGTTTTTTACTACCGACGCAAATATCCGTTTTCCCGGCGTTGCCGAGATCCCCGTCGTCCGGATACTCGGACCTCATTCCTTTGTAAGAGATTTTAGCGGCCAGCGAGGACCATATCAGACCCACCGTCGATGCCACCGCGATATTCAACACCAAACTGAACGTTATCGGATTCGCCCTGCTCACTTCGTACACGTAGGTGTCGTAATCGTATTTCAAATTGAAGCACGTCACTATCGACAATACGAGCCCCAAAGCGGCGAAAATGGTCGAGGAAACCGCGGCTACGAAGAACAGGGTGATGTTGCGATCGATGTACCATCGCTTCCAGGCTAAAATGCCCAAAATAAACCCGTTTAAATGACCCACGGCCATTAAGAAACAACAGCATATTAACGCCGGATAATGGAAGTAATTATCCGAGTTGCGCTTCAGCATGATTTCCAGGCGTTTGTAGCCCTCCAGCACCAAGTCCAAGTCCCTATCGACTTTGTCGTACAATTTGGCGAGTTCCTCCTGCAAGATGGTGGAGTTGTTCTCGATGGTGAAATTCCTCGTTTCTAATTTTTCCACGATATTCGCGTCCGTTAGGTTCGCGTATGGCTGGACGGTCAACTTGTAGATTATTATAGTTCCCATTATAGCGGTGTAGGCGAAGAGCCCGAGGAATACCACGCTCAAACCGAGCACCATTGAAGCGGAATAACGGCGCTCGGATGGGGACGAACTTCGGGGAATCCTGTCGATTTTGGTCTTCACTTTGATGATTCTCTCCATTTTAACCTAAAACGTAAAAAATATTTGTATACAAAATTATACAGAAAAGACGACCAGCTGCTTCTTTGTCGATGGTTGAAAATATGAAAAATTATGTGTAAGAATTTAGCGCTCTTGAAGGAAAAATGGTACGGTAAACAGAAAAGTAGAATTCTATACTTGTAATTGATTAGCATAAAAATTTTAATTCAATGCTGTAAATATACAACGCCTCGTTTTTCCTCATATTTATTCGATAAACGTGCAAACTGTTAGGAAAATGCACGTGACTTCACTTAAGTGAATATTTATATTAGCGGCACTCGGGATGGAAACGTGTTCGTTTTCGACCTTAAATTTCATCGGAATTTTCCCCATATTATTTAAATTCGAGAAAAAAATATGAAACTTTAACATAAAAATAAAAATTCCCCAAAAATGCTTTTACAACAATCTTGAACAGTTGATTTTTCGCACGAATAGAAAGTACATCTTAATCTCAATTAGATGATACCATAATTAACTTTATATGTAGATTTTTGCCATAATAATAGCATTTTACGGTAATATAAACAGTCTATTTGGTAGAAAAATGAATTAGTTCGACTAAGAATCGTTTCCTTTGAATGTAAAGTCACGCTTCGTGAGAGTATGTACTGAATATGCATTTGCAGATAAACCGCAACGTTAACAAAACAAAATATTCAATTGTATACCCACTAAACAGTGAAATAACCAGGATTATTTTGTAATTTCACGTTACGAGATTGAACAAGCAATAAATAATTAGTGAGAAAACATTTAGAAATAATTATCTCGAATCTTCTTATTCAATTGTATTGAAGCATTACTGCAACAAATAAAAGCGTTATAAATTGCTCGAATTCCATTTACTTATTTAATGCAGTAGAAAGTGCAAGTAAAACTTTTGTAAATCAGTTTCGCACTGCGATCGATTCGAACAATTTATTGATATTTTTTTACCGGTTGAAAAATTATGTTCATAACAGTTACAAAACAAAACGAATCAATTAAAATTAAGAAACAGCAATAATAAATTATACCTATCGATTATTTTACATTAATAAATTACGCTTATAACAAATAAAGCATTTCAAACATTTCTATTACCTACATGACATCTACACTATCTGTTCTGTTATCCAATTTAAAAAATCATTTAATTGTTTAATATATTCCAATTAAATTTGCTATAAATTTAATCATGCTGGAATGATAATTAACTGAAGAAGAATTGTCTAGAACTTAGGACGGTAAATTTTGTGTTGTAATTATTTATTTAAATCTCATTATCAACTCTTAACCTTTTAAGAAATTTTCTACTTACCCGAGCTCTATCATGCACATTCGAGTATTAAGGCGGTCAATGAAACGAAACGAGATTATGTTGCATAACGAAAAAACAAAAAGTCCCCATTAGACGAACACAATTGCAAAATGAAAAAGTACTATAGGTGCATAGCGGTTCTCGCAGTCTCCGATCGCAAGGAATTACCGAACTAACTAGATATATACGGTACGACTTATACCTAACTCGTAACTACCTGGTAGGAGCGGTAAGTGCAAGATACAGCCTTCACCAGGTACGGAGGCTATCTTTAGCTTGAAAGGTATCTCAGTATAATGTGTTGCCACGAATCAAGTCTCAAATATTTCACTTAATTTTTGGAATTTTGGGATGTTCAAGCCTTAGCTCATCTACATATTCATATTCCACACTGAACCCGTTTGATACAAGAAATCCATCAATGTAATTTATAGGTACTACTTTACGTATTTTATGCAAATATTGTATTATTTTCATATTCGATCTCTCCCCATTCATTTCAAGGGGTGGTCTTTGGATGAATTCCATCGCATTAGGGCTAGAAACAAGATGGGAGTGGGAGGAAAATTTTCCAGTTTTTTCCATCATAACACGTGTACTGTACAACGTGTCGTGTGCTAATCTAATTATGCATGCCTGGAATTTTTTCCGCGGGTAACAATTAGGTGCAAAGTAATTTTAATGATTGTTTCAAGTTGGAGTTTCGAGGAGACTTCAAAGGAATGGCAGGAAGGTAATTAGTAGGTTGTTGGAATATTTTATAAAAAATATCGAATGAGCAAATTCGAAATTCTCTTTCGATGAAGGTGGTATAAATAGGTGTTGATGGAATAGGGAGCACAGTTGGTCAGAATTTTATGATTAGAAATGACTAACCAAGATTCCGCGATAAGAAAATCGTTCAAGTTCAGCGAAGTTTCCATGAATTTGAACGGGCTATTACCCGGAGAAAAATACCAATTATTGTATACAATTTATTCGTACGTATTGTTGATCATATACATAATAATGATACCAGTTTTGGGTTATATGAACATTATTATGGCCAAGCCCGGTAGTAGAGTGGATTTGTTCCAGAAGAGTTTTGTCTACTTGGAATTGTTCATTTCGGTGTTCAAACATTGGCCGTTTATCACGAAACCGGACCAAACTAAAAGGTTACTCAACCGATGGAATGAAAGTATTTTCAATACAGATGTGGATATTGATAAACACATCATTCATGAATCGATTAGAAGATTCAAACTTATGAGGTTCCTGTTTTTCTTGATGACCGTAATGTCTCCTTTGTTGCTTATACAGTCTATTATATTTTCATCTCATGATGATTTGAAATTACCTATCTGGGTACCTGTGGACATTTATAATAATACAATGTTGTATACTATCACAAATGTATACGTCGTAACAGGTATGTTATGGCTGATATATCCTCAAAACTCCACAAAATCTACTTTTTTAGGCTACATACATGGGGTTTTTGGATATTTTTCGGTAGATTTTCTGATAGCTGGTTACATATTGTATTGTGCAACACAAATTAGGCTTATTAAATTCAAACTAGAGAATATGGATAAATATGTTGAAAAGGAAGCAATAATTGATCCACAGAAAACAACTACCGATGGTTTGCCTCATAAAAAGATTTATGACCAAATTATTCAGTGTATCAAAGTGTATGATGCTGTCTTTGGGTGTGTAAGAAATTTCCATGTAAATTTACGTTAAAATTCACCAAATTTTCAAATAAAATGTGGGACATAAGCTGCTTAAATGCTACCCGATTCACATGCAAAATTCGCAAGTTATTTGTAATTTCAGACATGCTCAAGAGTTGGAAAATGTTTATTCCATTGGAATATTTTCCCAATTTTTTGTTGGTTCAATGGTACTTTCTATTTGTATGTACAACTTATCAAAGGTAAGGTATTCGTGGTGTGACAGCGTGAATAAATGTTTCATTTAAACATTTATACTTAAACAAATACGAGCTTTTTAGGTAAATACACTTATGAATCTGGCATACGTTTTATCTTTTTTAATACCCACGGCATTGTTGTTATATTTATATTGTGATCAAGGAACTCTTATCATTGAAGAGGTAAGACTATTGGGTATATATCTCTTTGATCCTTGATTATATTTTTTAGAGTACAACAATTGGAGCAGCAATTTTCAAAAGTCCCTGGTACACTTACGATAAAAAGACCAAAATGTTACTGTACACTTTTATGGAACGAACAAAGAAACCTATTAAGTTTACAGTGGGTAAATTAGTGGATTTATCATTGGAAACATTCGTTGTGGTAAGTGAAAGTAAACGAATTAAAATCTAAGATCTAGAACTACCTAACACAATATTATCCTCCTCCTCATATTCTGTAGACACACTGTATATCTAGTAACAGAAAATTGTATTTTTTTAGATCATAAATCGATCCTATTCACTACTTGCTTTGCTTAAAAATGTCTATTGAATTCACATGAATCGACAGAGTCCACAACGATTGACGAGTAAAAAACACTGTGCAAGATCGCAGCTTTTATTATTATATTTTAGTTTCCAGCTTTAACTTATAGCTACATCATTTATTCCATGCCTGTTTTCATTTCATCAAAAGGTAGATGAAAAATAGTACAGCAAAACTTATAAATGTTTTTAGTTCAAAATACTTTTATAACAAGCTCTACTATACAGTAAGCTTTGTAAGCTTGTAATTAGTGTACACTACTAAGAATGCAAAGTAATAATATTTTTTTAATAACCTCTAATCTCTAAAACTCCTAAAATATCTTTTTTACATAAATTACTCAATTTAAGTTCATAATTTTGATTTTATTTTTTTTAAGTTTTAACATCCCAAATTTGAGAAAAAGCTAATAAGCTTCTGTATAAGCATCAGAAGAAAGTCCATTAATACTTGAATTTGTGGGTTAAGTAAAAACAAAAAGCGGGACTGAGAAATTTTTATTCTATGTTTTTTTCTGCATTATCTTTGCAATCGAAGTCAAAGTTCTTTGTTGTTCTAATCGAACGATTTTAATTAAAATATTTAATCCAACTTTTGCTACGTGTCTTTCCAACGAACGTGGCTTTCACTCCCCCCATACTAAATTAATATTTATTTCTCGATCCTTTTTTGCAAATACTAATTACGGCGTAATAATGGCACGTTTATAGCATGTTTAAGGAAACATCATCGGAAGCATCGAAGTCAAATTGTTAGTTAGCTCGAATATTTAATTAAAAAAAATGACTAGGCAAATTCTAAATTCTCTTTGAAACAAGACAGTATAAAAAGGTATTGGCTGAATATGGAACACAGTAAACCAGAATCAACAGGCAAAACTTTATCGATAATTAACTCGCTTAAAAAATGACTAACCAAGATTCAGCATTAAGAAAATCGTTTAAGTTAGACGAATTCTTCTTGAATTTGAATGGACTCTTACCTGGAGAAAAATATAAATTATTGTATTCGTTTTACTCATTTGGAATGTTGCTGGTTTACATAATTATGATACCGATTTTGGGTTATGTGGAAATTTTCTTGGCTGAACCCAGTAGACGAGTAAATATGGTGGACAAGAGTTTTGTTTACTTGGAAATTTTCGTTTCTGTATTTAAACATTGGCCGTTTATCACCAAACCAGCCCGAACTAAAAGGTTACTCAACCGATGGAACGAAAGTATTTTCAATACTGCTGTGGAAATTGATGAACACATCGTTCAAGATTCTATTCGATACCGTGTATTTGTGGTTCAAATATATTTTCTCAGTGGTGTTATATCTGTCTCGGTGCTTTTGATATCCAGCATATTTTCATTCAATGATCGTGAATTGAAATTGCCCATTTGGTTACCCGATCAAGTTTCAAATAATACGTTTTTCTATGTTATCGCTAATATATACATCATAACAGGTAAATATATGAAAATAGATACTTTTTGGCACGGTACACAATTTTGGTATATGTATTAATTTACCATCGATAACAAATTATTGTGTTTTAGGTTACACACATGCATTTTTCGGACATGCTTCTACAGATAGTCTCTTACAAACATACCTATTATATTGTGCAACGCAACTTAGGCTCATTAAGTTCAAATTAAAGAACATACATAAGTATTTCAAAAAAGTGGCAACATCAGAAGATTCTCATAAAACAACTATCGAAGGTTTGCCACAGAAGAAAATTTACGATCAAATTGTCCAGTGCATTAAAGTGTACGAGGCTGTAAATGGGTAAATATAGTAGATATAATTAAAGTCCATTGATAGCGCTTTATTTATGTAGAAATTTATAAAAATTGTACTAAAAAAAGAAAAACGGTTCAAAATTGTTGAAACGATCAAGAATTCCTTGAAGTAGGTACGTTTAAAATCATCAGTAAAAATTTCAGGTACGTCCAAGAGATGGAAAATATGTATTCCGTTGGTATATTTATGCAATTGATTGTTGTATCATTGATATTTTCTATTTGTGCATATAATTTAACAAATGTACGTATTTACTTAAGAGTGTCCCAAGAACGTCTTGGTAGTTAAAAATCTAAGCTTATAAGAAATAAATACTTTATAATTATATCAAAGTTAGGTACTATTCTTTGTTTCGTTATGTGCCTCGAGCCTTGTTGAGTTTTAGCTTTTTATTCTTGGAACATTCTAAATATTATTAATACACTATTATTACCAAAACATTACGATGTGCAACTATTTCTTTTGTAGGTATCATCATTTTTATATGCAATATATATTTTGTCCTTTACTATACCCATGGTGATAACAATGTATGCGTTCTGTTATACTGGAGCTCTTTTAATTGAAGAGGTAAGAACCTAGTCCCAATTTACAAAATGTTTATTCTCAATAAATTTTTGAGTTATCTTACTTTGTAGAGTACATCAATAGCAGACGCTGTTTTTAAAAGTCGCTGGTACACCTTTGATAACAAAAACAAAAAATTACTTTTAACTTTTATAGAAAGAACAAAAAAACCTATTAAGCTTAAAGCTGGTAAATTAGTCGATTTATCATTGGAAACATTTGTTATCGTAAGTAAAAGTAAATTGATATATACATAAAAAATATAAGAAAAATCAAATCCTGTATCTAAGATATGATCCTGCTATTTTCCATTTTTCATGTCCAATGAAGTGATTGGACAAAAATTTAATTCGCATTTAATATATTTAAAAAAAATTATTTTACCTATGATCTAATGATATGATCTAATTTTTGATTATTCATTATTGAGAATAATATACTACAGTAGCAAAAGATTTATTTTTCAGATTATGAACCGATCCTATTCACTACTTGCTGTGCTTAAAAATGTCTATTGAATTCACATAAAATAAAACTATACCGAATCCACGACGATTGAAGAATAAACACAATGTGCAAGAAAATTGCAGCTTTTACTATTATATTTCAGTTTCCAGCTTTAACTTATAGTTAGTTCTCGTCATTTATTCCATGCTTGTTTAGAGAGATAGATCAAAAAATATTAGGTAAAAGATATTTCACCAAAAATTATAAATGTTTAATAGTCACTTCAAAATACCTTTATAACAAGCTCTACTGTATTTTTGTTAGCTTGTAATTGTATACACTACGAATGCAAAGTATTAAAATTCATAGTTAGCCAATATTCTTTTAATAACCTCTAATCTCTAAAACTCCTAAAAGATCATTTTTACATAAAATGCACAATTTAAAAAAATGCTAAAAGAAATTCGGTGAATAGGCAAAAGGAAGTTCATTTCTGTAAACCATTAATTTGAATTATTTGAATGAAGGTATGATTAAAGTAGAAACAACGTTGAAATGGAAAATGTCCATTCTCCGCATAATTTTCAGTTTTTTCTATGCAATCGAAGTTGTCTTTCTTACTATAATAGAACGATTTAAAAAAAATGTACCAATCTGCGTATCAATATTTGATTTAATATTTGATTCAATTTCATAGTTTTTTCCATCGAACGTGTACCTACTTCATAAACTTCAATTTTTTTGGCAATTACTATTGTATGCGACGTAATATTAAAGATTTTTCCAATGGTATGTTTATGGAAACATCATTGGAAGCGCAGAATATAAATTATTAGCTTGCTAGCATATTCAATATAAAAATTGAATAGGCAAATACTAAATTATACAGTGCATTTCTTTAATGTCCCCCCCCCCTTTTAATTTTTGAACGGATCAACTTAGAAAATTGAAATTTGGGATAATGAAACTAATGCATGATTACTATATTTTAAAGTAAAATTGACAGATGAAAATTTCAAGATGGCGACTGGGCGCCATCTTGAGAAATAAATTTAAATGGAAAGGGGGGTCTTGTGATACATCATTTTGAAGCTCCTGACAAATACTCTACAACCCTGGAATATAAAGTCAATATCTGCACCTGCTATAAAATGGCGGATATTTAATAATGCGGAAATTTGTGCTATATTTCGTGAATTGCAATTGCCCATTTGGTTACCGGTAGATGTTTCAAATAATACCTTTTTGTATGCCGTGGCTAATACATACGTTGTTACAGGTAAATAAAGGTAAACTTTAAATTTAAATGAAGGTGTAAATGTAAAACTCTTCTCTCCTATAAAAAGGCTAGCGCGATTTAATCTTGGTTTTCAACTTTAACACAATAGAAATTAATGATTTATAATGAAACAATTTAAATTTGTTTTTTTAGGTTACTTGCACGCTGTTTGCGGGCATCTTTCTGTTGATATGCTAATACAAAGTTACCTTTTATATTGTGCAACACAACATAGGCTCATTAAGTTTAAACAAGAGAATATAGAAAAATATTTCAAAAAAAAAACGAAAAGGGTTTCTCATGAAACGACTACTGAGGGATTGCTACAGAAGAAAATTTATGATCAAATTATTCAGTGCATAAAAGTGTACGATGCTGTTTTCGGGTATGTAGATATTATTAGATTTCTTTACCAGCACTTTGGAACCGTTCGATATCTTTAACAAATTGACAAAAATCGCTTTATCTACAAGGCAGGAAAGCAAGGAAAAACGTTTTGAAATTCCGGAAAAATACAGCAGTAATAAAAGATACAAAAAACGTGAAAACTTGTAGGGACTATATAGAATTGTTTAAAGTTTAGAATATCGAAAAATAAAATTTTACTAACAAATAATTATTCATAGTTTCAGGTATGCCGGAGAGATGGAAGACATGTATTCATTTGGAATATTTTCGCAATTGTTTGTTGTATCATTGATATTTTCTATCTGTGCATATAGCTTAACAAAAGTACGTACCTAATTACACAGGGTGTCCCAGAAAGGTCTTAGTGCTTAAAAGCTAAAATGCTCCTTAATAATTAAAAAGTGTATACAAAATTTCACAAAAATATCTAAATAAGAAAATTATAATAGAAAGTTAATTTTGTTTTCTAAAATTTTAACACCCTGTAGCTCGAAAATTAAGAAGTTTAGGACATATACTGATATAAACTTTTTTCTTAAAATCATCCAAATATTCACAGCCTGAAGTATCGACACTAAATTAGTTAACACCCTGTATATTTTTATTACCTCAAGAGTAGGTAGGTCCTCAAAACCTGTGGGATTTATGTAATTTATTTTGTAGGCAACATCATTTGTAGACATACTATACATTTTGTCCTTTACTATTCCTATGATTTTATCAATGTTTTTATACTGTTATCCTGGAACTCTTATAATTGAAGAGGTAACAATATTTTATATTTAACATGTTTGTAAAAAATTCAGGCAGCATCATGACGAAGGCTTAAAAAATTTGAATAGTACCACATGGTGGGAGAATGTATATATTTTTGAGTTACCTTTTTGTAGAGTACATCAATTGGAGAAGCTATTTTCAAAAGTCCCTGGTACACTTATGATAAAAGGACCAAAATATTACTGTTAACTTTTGTGGAAAGAACAAATAAACCTATTAAGGTAACAGTTGGTAAATTAGTCGACTTATCATTGGAAACATTTGTTCTTGTAAGTAAAAATAAATTACTTAAGCTTTTCATAAAAACATATGACTTTTGTGTCTTTTTAAATTCTTGATACTATTAAGTATTTTTGATCATTCGTTTTTTTCAGATTATGAATCGATCTTATTCACTAATTGCTGTCCTTCAAAATTTCTATTGAAATCATATGAAACTAACGGCTCATCAAGAATTAACAAACAACAATATGCAGAAGAGATAATAGTTTTTACTATTTCAATTTTCAGTCTCATCTAATAGCTTTTTAAAACTTTATAGTCATTTTTGATCATTTGTATTCGATTAATTTCGATCTCATAGGCACAAATACTATAATCTACACCGTACACTAAATACAAAGCAAAGAAAAAAAATCGAGATTGCTCAAATTATTTTAACAGCCTTTAAAAGACTTCATCTACGCTCAAAGGTGTAGATTTTTTTGGCTCTAATATACTATGTAGGGCTCTATCTTTCGTAGTATTTTCCACTTGTTAAAGGTCACCCTGTAGATCTAAAGGTAACTCGTACATTTAATATAACACCAAGACGAGTCAGCTGTTGGGGCAGATGTGCATCTCGTCGCACGTGCGCAAATAAGTAAATTTTGGTTTGAAAATTGCCATTCACTTATAGGCACTAGCTCAAATGAGGATCGAATCTTCCTAGGGTGAATCTCCCTAGGGTAAATCCATCGAAAGAAATGTTTACACCCTCATCTATGAGTAAATAACCCCTAAAAAAGTTCCAGAATACCAAAGTCGATCATGAAGTTAAACTACAACTAGAGAGTTAGAGAGCCTGTCTTGTTTTGATGTCCAATAAAAATAAAATATCGTTCAAATAGTAAAGTAATCGAATTTTTTATGTGTAATATAATATTTATTTCTGCACCTGGACAAATACGACGTTAGCATATTGTTATCATATCTTTCAGAAGCGTGATAACTACATACATTGAGATAAATAAACGAAACGAGCTTTACTGGGAAGTTAAACTATAGCTTTAGTACGGTTAGTAGTTTTTGTTACAAAAATTATTCAAATAAAACGCATATTAATAAAAAATATTCTTCTAAAAAATCTTCTATTAAAAAGTTGTAATGCTACGAAATCATCGAGCATTTTGAGGGCTTCAACGATTTGAATTGGATTCGCAGACTGACAATAAAAATTTTTCTTGAGAAAAAAAAAGACCTCGTAAATCGACGCCGCATAATAATTGCTGCCTGTTTTCCTGCCTATATCCGTTGGGGAATAATTACTATTGTCCCTCTCTTTAATATCATAAGAGTCGTTTTGGTACGTGCGCACCAGTGGCGCACCCCCATATTTACCTACTGATCTAGGGAGTCTATAAATCATGCAGCAAAGTAAAATTAAAATATATTGTAATAATAGAAATAGTTTATAAATTTTAGGGCAATGCATTTAAAGAAGATACGGCTCGAAATATTTTTAGAATTAGTTTATTTCGAATTATAAATGATTATTTAGTCACTGATAAAATTGTTCCTTATTGTAGATACCTTAGAGATATTGATGATGAATAATACATATGTTGAAATTTAATTTTATATACTTCTTGGGTAAGGTAGACTGGGGCAAATCGGTTGTAAAATTTGAATAGTTCAAATTAAAATCCTAAAATGTGGCTTTATTTTTTCTCTTATTAGAAATGCTGATACCACATTAAATTCACAACTTCCTAAACTAAAGAATCGAGGTATTAAAAAGTTTTTTTTGAAAAAGGAAGAAAACGATTTTACATATTTTTGGGTAAATGTAACAAACGGTTCTAAAGTGCAATACAATTATATACAAAAACATATGGGGCAATTGTAAAAAAAATAGTTGGTCCCTCTAAAATTAGATATGCTGTTTATTTATTTATTTCAAAAAATAACAGAGCTACAAAATAATAAAGAAAAAATAAGAAACAAACCCTATCTAATGCACAAAAGTACTATAAAAATAATAAAAACATTAACATATTAGGCAAAATTAATTACAAAAATTATTAACAAAAATTAACGGTAATTAACAAAAATATTACATTTACCCCATTTTTACATTTGCCCCAGTCTACCTTATAGAATTTATTGTTTATTTAAGCCTATGTTAGTATGATAACTAGTCACTGGTGTGATATATTCTATTTATAACAAAAATCTCGTAGGACGCCTATGTAATCTACCCCATGCTCACACATGACATGAGGCATATGCAGCTGCGAGAGTCCCCCTAAAACCTACCGTTACGCTCTAGTGTAACGAAACCACCAGTCGCTGATCTACCTTTCTGAATTAACGGTCATTTAAAAAAGCCGGCGCGCCAAACGTCGAAATCGCCTCTCGTCGAATTCGAACAATCGCCCGGTTTTGCGATTTCAGTGCGCGTAAACCGTCCTAAATGTCCGTCAGGCCGATCCTAAATGGCCACGAACACCAACTTCTACACGAATCCGGCTTTTTGCCAGCAAAGTGAGTACCCGCCGCGCGTTTTGAGCCCCAAAAATGTCAGACAATCGCCCGTTGGAGCGCAATGCGTGACGCAAAACAGGGAATCCGGGACGAGCCGGAGCCGAGTGATAGAAGAGCACCTGGAAGAGCAGGAATTTTACGAGGAAGTGCTGGTGGACGATAAGGGATTTATTACTGATAAAAAGTTCGTTGTGGTCGCTCAAAATAACGAGGGGAAAAAGTATATTCAGGTAGGTAAATTTTATGTTATTGGTAATGAAATTCTTATAATACAATTGGTAATAACACAAACATTAACTTTCTCTGCTTGTTTAAGGTTCCCCAAAATGAAGATAAACATGGTAGCAGATACGGTTTAGTTTCTCAATTCGACGATAGGAAAGGAGCTCGATATGGATTACCCGCTGCAAAACCTAAACTAACAAGAAGCCAAAGTCAACGATACGAGTATATTCAAATGCAAGAGCAAAACACATCTCCAACCAGACGACCCCATTATCTCGAAGATGTTGATGTATCACCAGCAAGATTCCATAGGTACGTCATGATGTCATTCAAGAAATAATTGCTGTGGGTTCTTGGCGTTAAAACGCACTAAATTCTCGATTTATTTATCTATTCAGGTATGCAGTCATAGAACCTGAAGAAGAAACGGAACTATCAAACCAAAATACACGGTACGCTCTAGTTCCAGTAGACCATCTTAATAATTTCACTGGTAACAAGCAAACATCGGTTCAATCCAAATCAAGATACGAATACATACAGAATCAACAAGAAACAGAAAACCCACCACACAGTCCGACTAGATACGAATACGTCCAATCGACGCCGCAAAAACCACAATACAGGTAACGTTACACCAAAGTAAATTTTACCTACTTATACTTAACATTCGTTTTTTTTTTTTTTTTTAGTTTTAATTACATAGGCCAATCTCCGCGCCCTGGTAACTTGGCAGCAACGCAAAAACTCCACGAAATCCTCTCCACGCCGAAGAAAACGCCCAATCAATTGTTCACCGCGCAATCGGTCCAGAAATTGATCCCGCAACTCTCGCCCATCACCAACGAGCACCAGCAGCAGCAGCAGCGACCCACCAGGAACCCCAAGAAGCCCCCGCCGAAGGCCCAGCAGAAGCTGAACTACGCCTTGGGCGTGAACCACGCCGCCCAGGATAAGAGACACTTGGCCATCGTCGCCCCGATGTGCTCCAGTCCCATACAGAGCGTCTACAGCGAGACCACCTTCTCCAAGTCGGGCTCCTGGTCGAACCTGAGCGTCAAGGCGCCCGTCCAGGCGACGCTGACGTTCGCCGCGATGGTGCTCTTCGTCTGCGGGATCATCACGTCGGGGCTGTGCTTCTACCTGATTTACTTGATAGAAAGACAGTACTATTTGGACTTCGGAGTCGTGGCCGGGTTCACTTGCATGCTGTTGGGACTGCTGGGGTTCAGGAGCAGGCGAGTGTATTGGTTGCCCAATAGGAACTACATTTCAGGTAAATTTGCTCGTTTGTACGTTCGAATCGGGTTTTATATTAGTTTGTTTTTAGGGTATATAATACTCAGCGTGTTCAGTTTTTCCACGTGCGTGGCGCTGATGATATTTCTGGTTAAGCAGCCGAAGAAAGGATCTCCGTTGGGGGATATGACTTCAGGGGCGGTTTGTGGATTTTCTGTGCTGTCTTTAGTCTTGGCGACCATGGGGGTGGTTTCTAGTTATTGTTGTAAATATCCCCCGCCTGATAACAGGGTCCAACACTGCGCCGAAGGCTTCAGAGTTTAAAATTTGTTAACAAAACTATTAGTGAGTCTCTTATTAATGTAAACCTATAAATTCATATCCCTCTAGGTATAAGAGTTACGTATTAGATATTAGATATTGTAACAGTATTGTTTTATATAATTTATAATAAATATTTTAAACAAGAAATGAACATTTATATCATAAAAGTAATTACATTCTAAAAAGCTTCACAAGTTTCAGTAACGCTCTCAAACACATAAGAATAATAATAATCGTTCTCGACAATTCTGTCGTAGTTGTTATAAATTACAGGAGGTATTATTGAATATTTCGACAATACGTAAACGCTTTCGATTTCGCTTCCTTTAGTAACAGAATTCAATTTTACGGCATAAAAATCGGGCAAATTGTTGGTTTCGAAGACGTGCGGAATCGTTATCTCCAAATGAGTGGAAGGAATGTCTTGCAAATGGCTGAACGGTATCGTACTCAATCGCTCTTTCGATACATATTCCTGGATGATCTTGGAACAGAAGGAATTGAACGGCGTATCGGGCACGTAAGCGTTATTTTTCACCAAGTAAATATATTCAGTGACTAAATGAAGCGTTCCTAGATAGTTCAGTTGGTCCCTCCACACGTCGACTTGCAGGAACTGCCAACTGTGGAATTTCGTATCGGCGTCGATTAATTCTTCCCGCGTCATCTTGTTCCATTTGCTCGAGATGTGGTTGTAGCTGGGTATGAAAAAGTGCTTGCAGATGGCCTCGTAATCGTTTTTTAATTTCTCCGTTCCCAATCCGAAAAGCAGCTCGAGCGCTATTTCGTTGTTGATTTGGAGGATCCTGCCGTTCAATAAGCAGTCCAATATCCTGGCGGCTCTAGTTTTTCCTTAAAAAAAAGAATATTTTATATAAATATATGGTAAAGAAACGACAGGTAAGGTAGTGAGGATATAAATACATACCAATTATAGTGGGAATATTATCGTATCCACTTAATTTCATTAGAAAATGTACTAAAGCTGATTTAACATCTTCCAAATGTCCACACCTTTTCAGTATATTCCAGAGTTTATCCATGATATTTAATTCTCTCATTTCGATTAAATTGAATTCGGTTGATATTTTTTTAACGATTCTATCTTTAATTATCTGTTGAATATTATCGTAGATTTCATTTAAAGATAAAGGTTGGCTCGATATTACCGAGTCGATATTTATTTCTTTTCTATCGATGATGTTTATCAAGTTTTGTAGTAAGCACAGTTCTTGCCAAAGGAAATGAACGGAGGATTCTTTGTGTCCCGGTATTAGATCCAAACTGAGTTTCATTTCATTTTTCAGATTCGATGGATTAGATAATTCACATTCTGATGTTGCATTATTTTCAATGCTCACAATGCCATACTGTTTGCTGTTATTTCGTAACAAATTCTGTAAGAAACTTCCGTACACCATGTACTTAAAAGTGATTGAATAATTAATGTAACAGTTCATGGTTCCGCACAAAACATAATGGCCTCTTTTCATCGAAGAAAACAGCAAGTTTTCATGAGTTATAGGCATGAAACCGATGACGTTTAGTGTACAGGTAAAAATCTTCTTAGATTGTTCCTTGAATCCTACAACAATAGTTTTACGGGGATTATTGCCATCGCATACAGCAAAAACAGCCTCTTTATTTCTCATGTTAGTTTTAAAGTTCAAATATTTTCTAGCTTTACGAATGTCCATTGGAGTATGTTCATTTTCGGATTCCAGCCATTGGTTAATTATTCCTTCTTCGGTTTCCAAAAGAAAAGATGCATTACCTTGCAAATCCACTTCTAACGGATTGCCTGTTATTTCTATAGTACTTTCATTAAGGTAAGACTTTTCGCAGTTCTTACGTGTTTTCCGCAAATGTGCCAACATTATTTTTTCGAAATTCTTGTCTAAAATAAAATCTAATAGATAGGAAGGAGGAACGTCCACTGCTTCAACGACATCTTCGAATTGGTTATTTTCATGACCCATTTTCTCTTAATATGCGCGAAAATTATGTTGGAACTATTGAGAAGTACTATATCAATTCACTGGATAGAACAAAACACCATACACAAAAGAAAATGAATAATTTCTTGTTTGCAGAAACGGTTAAAAATATGCAATAAACAAAACTTTGAAAAGTTTTCGTCTGTCTGCTGTCACTGTCTGTCACAAGTCAATAGTGTCATCACATGGAACATTGCGAATGTAAGATCTACCATTCCGTGTCTCTTGTAAAATCGTCGAAATTTTTCAAGAAAGAAAGGAAAATTTTAGATGTTTTTCATAGTTACTAGTCATAGAGAAAGAAAGATTGATATTATACTTAAATTTTGTCTAAGCTACAAGTTTAATTTTCAAATAAAGTTTTATTTTTTAGTGTGGCCCAATAACAGAATGAGAATAGACCCAAATGAGCTTGACAGAAAATTTTATTCCGTGTTACTTATCACGAAACACCAACATTTTATAGTTCAATATTTTACTTATAGATGACAGCTCTTGTCGAAAAGAACGGTACGTTTCGTGAAAAACACAGAACAAGACTTTTTTCAACAGAGTGAAATGATATCGGCAACTAAATATACTCCAATAACTATCAGTTGCTGTGTTATCAGATAACTATGTATTGTTACTAAAACAATAATTTGTTTCATTTTAATCGCAGCCAAGAGACCTTTTACCTTCTACTTCTAATAAAATAATTATTCTAATAAAAGTAAGTATAATTAGTTGCGTTCTATAATTTGGTAAATTTACAATTATAAGTCTTATATCAACAGTATATGTATAATTAGCGAAAATTTTCCTAAAAACTGTCGCATCCGAGTTGCGATAACTACTTCCCAGCTCTCACAGTCATGAAAGCGAAATCTCAACGGACATAACCCGGTGTGGTTAAAATAAAAGGCACTTAAAATAATTCACAGCGACAGTTTTATCAACAGGCCAAACTTCATATTCATTTGTTATTCATATTTACAAAATGTATGACGCGCACCTAATCAAATATAACGAGTTCCCGAGGGAAGGGGTGTATTAATCATATAGTTTCTATCCGTCACATCTTTTAACCAGCGGCGGCGCCTCTACATGGTGTTTCTTTAATTTAGTTAATATTCACGTATTTAGTTATAGGATATTTGTTATCAAAATAAATATCTAAATCAGAATCATCATCAGAATAATACCAACACAATAAAGAATTGTCGATATTGCAAACACATTTGCATCACTTATCAATATCAATGTAGGAAAATTCTCCAAATTTTCCTTTTGTCAATTCATGAGTGATCATACTCCATAACAACAATGTAAATCTGTCAAGTGAAAAAATCTCCTTAGTTACTCCATAACAACAATGTAAATCTGTCAAGTGAAATAATCTCCTTAGTTACTCCATAACAACAATGCAAAACTGTCAATTGAAAGAATTTTATTTGTCATTTTCCAAATCAATTGCAGTTCATAAGCGCAAGTAAAAGTAAACAAAAATCCTTGAAAAAAATTAAATATTTTTTGCGCAAAACGCTACTGACTTTTTAACACTTATTGCCCACTTTGGTCTAACTTAATGTCACCCGTTAGGCGATAATGAGGCGAAATTGAACACCGGCGTTCCCAAAGGATTCTAACACCCTATTTACTCTTCAAAACACTCTAATGAATTCGAAGAGACTGGAAATAAAGATGATATGCCACAGATTTGATTGTGCCGTTAGTGTCGTGCGCACGTATGTAAGTACGTTTATGTACTGATAGGCGTTGATGTTATTGCTTTTTGTGAGAATTTCCAGACGCGGATTGAGGGGCGTAAATTATACTATAATTTGCCAATAAATTTAATACATAGTTTTTAATAAAATGGATTAGTAGTACACGAACTGCTCAAATGCTGATTGCTAATAAAACCTACATTCGAAAAAAAAAGGTCAGAAATCAGAAATATACTTGCGTAGTATCAGTTGTTTCACACGGTTTCGTACTGTAATAGAAAACTTGCCTATTTTTTGCATAATAAATTAATGAACCGTAAGCAAACAACACGCTATCTAGAAAACTTGATCGGGGAATTAATAATGAATCAGCTTCTGCTTGTTACTTTAATTAATAATATGAAGCGTACCAACTATGCAATAATATACAAGAAGTGAATAATGTTAGTTATTCCAGCATTATAGAAACCTTCATTAAAGGATTTCAATATGTTGAAAATAGGATTTTGGAGAGGACCAAATAACGCGAAATTACAGTTATTGCTCATACCTATTGGGTAGAAAATTATGGATTTTTTTGTCACGATTTTCTTTCGTCTCTACTCGCCTCTTCCCGCAATGTCTTGTCCTACTTCCAAACAAAATGAGACCTTAAGAGAATATGATCTCACGACATCACTAACATTTTTATTCCAAAAATAACCCCTCTTTCTCATTGAAGCTCTAACTCATTTTGAGCGATCGTAATTGCTTAATTATGAAATTATACGAAAACACCTCGCGTTCCCAATTAATTAAAACTATTTCCTAAGGCATGTCAGTAAAACAATTAGCCGAAGAAACCATAATTTGGATTGTGAAACAGTCGTTGAAGCATGACGAAACCTCTCGAGGTCCTTGCGCTTTTGTAAATAACCGGATGTGCGGCCACCACCTCGATGCTTAGGTAGAAAACGGGAAACCTTACATCTCCCTGTAGGGTATACGCGTTTGATTTTATATGAGAATTTTCTATAGCCTTTTTTTCACATGCGTTAAAATTTATTGCCTATACCTACGGAAATCGAGAGAGATTTTTGTGGATAATTTTTGTACCCCGTGGAAATCTAGAAAGGTTTTCTCGCCATCGATACCGCGTCACTTGTTTGCATTTTCTCTGATAAACAGTCGATATGCCCGTTATCGGCGTTGCTACGCCTTCGAGAGGGAGGAGTGAAGATGGGAAAACGAAATTGCTTTATTTTCTTAGGACTATTGGCTCAGTTTTCCTCCGTCGCCATGGTGAAATGAGCGCGACGAATATATCCTAAGTTACTTCTGTTGTTTTCCCCGAGCGCTACATAATCACGTTTTCCCCTTTTAATAGGGACATTCTGTCGAGTTTTTTTAATTAAATATGTCGTATTTTTATCTTTAATAAAACAATAAATACCTAAAAATATCAAAACTCGGAATCTATTATAGAATGAATAAAGATTTTAATGACAGAAAGTATACGATGAAAGATTTAACAAAAAAATGGGGATTATTATAGAATAAATAAACGTACAAACATATAAAGAAAAATTAAAAAGAAAACAGTCAAATGGCACCGGGTAATCCGATCACATAAGATTACCTTTCAATAGAAAATTACGGTATAACATGTCAGCTATTTACTCAGTGATTGTATAATTCAAGCGTCCCTGAGAAAAGTCCTTTTCTGTGTGTGAGTGCGCGAATGCATGATGCGAGAAAATGACTCTCTCGTAATATGGAACACTGCGGTAATGTAATGTCAGTGAATGAGGTAGTGAATAGTGGTTCCGTATCGGATTTCGCACCATAGTTTCAGATAACTCTCAACAGATACAATATCAATTTTGTGGCGGTGCTCTCTCGCTGCAGCGGCTCGCCTGGATGCAGATTTGCATACCTGCTGTATAGTAATGCTGCACTATTTCTAATACCATTTCGCAGAATTTGTTAAAAAAGACCTAAATGTAGCACCTAAAATTTCCGGTCTACACCAAAAAATCACAAGACCCACCTAATTGACTGAAAACTTAATTTCATTTCCATTGCATAAACTGAGAAATTTGGAAATATGTGTTTGTAATATGTTTAGTGAACGTGCATGAAAACTAATTTTAGTCTTTGAAAACTATAAATTTTACATTGGACAATAACTGATGAGCGAAAATGCAGCCAGAATAGATTAGAATAAAGAATAACTAGAGTAGAGAGTTAGAGATTCGAGTGAAGGGAGAGTGGATTAGTGATGTAAAGAGTAAAGAGTGCAATGATCACAAAGTAATTTACGGCTGTTTAGGGTATTTAATTTAAATTCCCTCTTATAGACAATAAAACTCTAAGAGTTTATAAGAACTATACCTAACATAAAATAAAAACAAACTGGCAATGATTATAACAAGAGGAATTTATACTTGTGGAAATTCGAGACGTCCCACAAGTGCAATCAACTATATGTCGAAAAAAAAAAGTCTAAAACTAAATTTAGAGTGCAAGCGTTACGGTAACATCAGAGGGTATAATTCGAATTTTATAAACACTCTTTAACGTATTACCCTATAATTTTTATTACCCCTATAAATTTGATTTCATTCATCGGACTAGAAAAACAGGAACTAAATCTAAAAACAGGAAACTTAAAAAGATCGCGGGCAGCTGTTTCGGTTACACCGCGTCGAAATCTTGCGGCGCTGGAATTTCGTGAAACCGCTCCTTTTCGGTGATTTCATTCTGAACTTGTTAGGTTTTTGTTAATACGAAAGGGACCTTTTAACCCCTTTCTAATTCACACCGAAATTTCGAAACCCGAGTTTCCACAATAAAAGCACCCGGCGTCGGGGCGCTTTGTAAAACCGCGTGTAAAACGCTTTCTGTTATTGTCTGAAAAGCTGCTAAAAATGTAATATGTCGCTTTAGAAGGAAGCTTTTTATGTACCTATACATGTATATTATAGTTACCAGTTAACTGTATGAGGTACACCTTTTCTGACGAACAAAAAGAAACTTGTTTTTTATTAATATATATATAATAACTCGCTACGATTCCTTTAATTTGAAGATTTATTTAATACTAAATTTTTGAGAATGGGAAATAAAATTAGTCAATTTTCGTATATAATACATGATACTGATGGCACAAAATGTTTAAAACTTGATGATGATGATGCAATTATATTATATGCGATTGATAAATACGGATTATTGCTTTAATTAATCCGAGGGAGCTTTGCGATAGAATCAAATAATGATTATCTTGTAACAACACTTCTACCTAGTCTAATTATCGACATTTTCGTTAAAAAGAGAGGAGCGCCGTAGAACGCCATAGCGGACTGTTCTCGACAGAACCGTATTCCAGCTAAATTGCAGGGTTTTTAAGAATGATAGAGGGTGTGTCCTTTTTTTCAATCAATCTTCACCTTCATTAATGATTAATGATTACCTAATGAGTAATTAAATATAAATTTTCCCTGTTGAACTTACTTTCTTCAGTCTCTAGGTATAAGTAGATACTATAGAAACCTGAGTTTTTTTCTTTCTCTAAACCAAAGTATAACTATAAGATAATGGTAATAATTTCAGAAAAATGATTTAGATTACTAGAGTATGAAATAGAACGTTATAACAATTTACAAATGTTCAGTGTGAATTACAGAATAGTTCAAATTCAAGCATCATTATAATTATCCAGTTAGAGTTCTAATTTATCCTGAAACATTAATTATTTTAAACTGTCCTTAATATAGTCCTAATTGTTTTTGAAGCATTTGAAATTGTTTAGAACTGTTTTAATTCATCCTGAAGACCACATTACTTCATATAAATCGTTCTGAACAATTCGAATACTATCTACTTCTTTACCAATAAGAACTAATAATCCAAGAGTATACTTAAATGTTACTCTATTATACCTGTAAGTAATTGCTAATACCATGCATAAAACTTCACTAAGGTTTTTAATAACAGCTTTTATGAGAGTGATTGATTGGGGATGAGGATTTTAATTTATCAATGAAAAAAAAAGTGTTTATATACGGACCTGCATTGTTGAAAAGAACAACGGGAGGACGCAACGCTGCCGTTTTACCGAGAGCATCAGCGAAGCCCGCGATAATTCAACTAGAGAGAAAGAGAAGCGTATAGAGACGAAGAGAGACGGAAAGAAAGAGAAAGAGAGAAAAGTGCTGCAGGTAAGGGTGGCTGTGCCAGAATAATGGGTAATTTGATATCCCGAGCGGCTCCCTATTTATCCACATCGGGATCCGACATACAGATCAGCCAAGGCCCGTCAGTAACAAACTAAAAGGAAAACTCAACAGAACTTCGTTTTCTCCAGTACTCAAACACCATTATCGCCATTATAGCTCTTTTCGTTCCGTCCGTATTGTTGGTTCTCATCATTTTAATTCGACATCGCCCGCACGGATGGAAGATGGAAGTTTGTTCCGAATTAATTGCGTTTTTTTTTCTTATTTGCCATATAGAAATCTGAAATTCCAATATGGCTAACTTTTGCACTAAATTAGTAGATTCATTTCATAAAAAAATGAATTTTATTTTTTCTATATAAAGTATTTTTTCTTTTAAAATGTCTGTAATTCTTATACCTAATGATGTTCTTAAAAAATATAGATAATGAATGTGAATTTAATACTTGCTTAAAATGATTAGTGTTATACAATGTGATATCCATAAGTTGTACATCAGGATGGGATATTCTTTTAAAATATCATTAGTATTAGTGAGTCGATTTAAAATCTAAACAAGTATAAGGTAGACTGGGGCAAATCGGTTGTAAAATTTGAATAATTCAAATTAAATCCTAAAATGTGGCTTTATTTTTTCTCTTATTAGAAATGCTGATACCACATTAAATTCACAACTTCCTAAACTAAAGAATCGATGTATTAAAAAGTTTTTTTTGAAAAAGGAAGAAAACGATTTTACATATTTTTTAAAATGTTGACAATATGTTACATTTACCCCTTGGTACGGGGTAAATGTAACAAACGGTTCTAAAGTGCAATACAATTATATATAGAAAAACATATGGGGCAATTGTAAAAAAATATTTGGTTCCTCTAAAATTTGATATATGCTGTTTATTTATTTATTTCAAAAAATAACAGAGCTACAAAATAATAAAGAAAAAATAAGAAACAAACCCTGTCTAATGCACAAAAGAACTATAAAAATAATAAAAACATTAACATAATAGGTAAAAATATTACATTTACCCCATTTTTATATTTGCCCCAGTCTATATACCTTATAGGTATTTCCATGCACTTTAAATATATTATTTAAACTTAAAATTTTATAATTGATATTTATCAATTATTGCTCTATAAAGACACCTAATAGACATTTGCCCAGTTCCTTGCATTATCATGATGGAGAGGATTAAATTAAATAAATCCTTACCAAATATCTAGCCAAATTTATTTATAGTGCCATATATTCACTGTTTTTTTATCAATAAAGGCTTTTATATAAATGAAAAATTAAATTAAATGCAGTACGACATCCGATATTTATTTTGATTTAATTGTATTCGATTAAAAAATATTGATACAAGTTAATCAACATACAAGTTATGGAATTGACTGATATAGGTAGACTGATTTATTGTACAGCATAATTAGTAACTATTTAGGTAATTTGTACCTATACCTATAAAATTTTAATAGATAGAACTTAATAATAAATTATTTCACTTATACCTACACTGAGGAAAAAACTGTATTTTCTATTAGTAAATATTGCTTTGGAAGATATTTATTCATATTGAAGCTCGTAGTGTATTCCATAATATAACTTACTAAATATGATAACAAGAAAAAATCTTGTTTAATAATAAATATATGTGTTGATTGTTGAATAATCTATTATAAACTACAAGTTAGATGATTTGCAATAAAACTATTTGGGTAATATATACTCAATCGTTACTAATAAAGGTGAAAAATTTTTAAATACATGATTGACATATTAAAAATATAAACATATGTTGTATTAAATATATTGTAATTCTGATAAGTAATTAATTAATTTAATATAAATTTATTATATTTAAAATTATCAATATTATAGAGAATAATAAATAATATTTATTGATTAATATCTAATATATGGACGTAGTCCGCCTAATTTCACTGGCTTTGTTGGCTATTGTTCTATTTCATTTTGATGGATGCTGTACCGTACGCCACGCCGTACTAACCGTACCGTTTCCCAAAATTCCTGCAACCTTCAGGCTGGTCGCCGGTAAAACAGTTTTGTAGTGCAAGAATTTTGCTTGTATTTAATTGTTTGTTACATAATTGTGTAAAAGTGCTTCTGTAAAGGATACTACTATGCAGGTTAGTAATGAATTTGTTCTGATTGCATTATTTAATCACAACAACAAAAATTACAGGAACCGGAGCTCATGAGAGACTGAAAAACAAATTTGTGGAGGATTTAGGATTGGAAAGTTCAATTTCTTTATTTGTAAGTAAACATTAATCCTTAGCTTTTTTTATTTTTGTAACGGTTTTTATTTCATTGCAGTTAATTCAATCAAGAACATGGCAGAATTGGAGCTGCATGCTAGTTCACGACGAACAGTATTTCGAAGAAATTTGTCCAATCAGAGGAGAAAAATTTTGTCTTCTTGACCGAAGGAGAAATAATTAATTTGTAAGGTATTGCGTTTTTTCCTATTCTGAAATAAGTTTTCTTTTGGTTTTTGTTTAGGAAGACTGCATCTACTATAGTTCTGATGCATCTACTTCACAAGACTTTCGACCCTTACCGTTCTCGACCCTTATTTTTGTTCTATTGTTCTTGTTAATGTACCTCGATTAATAACTTAAGTGCAATAAATATTTTCAAATACCTTTATTAAGCATTTTTCATTTGCAACCATTCTTATTTTCCCGTTTTATTTACAGGATGACTTGTATTTCTACTTTTATATTTTTGGGATAGTTTTCAGTAAAATCAGTTAAAACCGAAATTAGAACTGATTTTACTGAAAACTAACCTAAATATAAAAGTAGCAATACAAGTCATCCTGTATAAATGAACCTAATATAATTATTAGGTAAATACAATTGAGAGTTGATTAAAAATAAATTCAGGTTGGTTTTATAATAAATATTAGCGTATTTATTATTAATCTATCGAGTTCATAAAAAAACCTAGAAAAGTTTGTTAATAACCTGGTGTAGTTGTGTTGGTATCATTAATAGTGGCAATAAATATATAAGTATTTTTATTTTTAATCAACATTTTATTTTAAGGAATACATCGTATATTACTAATTTAATAGTCAATTATTGGTTATATCCTAATAAAAATTGGTTATGTCGGATTCTGATTCTCTCATAGCTTAATTCTTAACCACATTGGTTACATATAACTCAACCTTTTTCTCAGTGTACTTACACCTATAAGGTATATCAAAAGAGGTAAGTTTGAGTAAACATTTAATTAAAAACGATTGTTTTAAATGGTAGATATAGAAGGTCAAGAATTGGATAGAGGGTGGTTATACAGGATGCAAATCGATCCCTCATCTATCTATAACAAAAATACCAATTCAAATAAAACGAATAAACATTTCCGAATGGAAATTCGCATTATTCGAATCGAACGCCACTCTATTCCGTCAAAATCGATCCCGGCCGAGTTGACGAACCCGCCGATCTAGCCCCAATTCAATCTATCTCGAAATTAATAAGATAGCGAGAAGATACCCGTCTCTGTTCGACGCACGCCGCGCCTCACCCCGCCGGATAAATTACAAACAATAAAATAAGAGCAACGACGGCGGCGCCGCGCCATTGGCGCTCCTACCACAAGTCGCGCCCCCATTGGCCCGCTTGGTATTTATCCTTTGGGGAGCGAGAGGAGGACCCGGCGACATCCCCTCCTATTCTTCGCGGGACGCGGCCAGTCGAACTGATCCGGATCCGGCGAGTTGGTCGCCATCCGAACCGGCGTTGCGGCGATTTTTCCGGCGATATACAATAAATAATATTGGCCCGTTTCGTGCGACGGTTGCGAGCGAAGATCTCTCGATAGTAGACCTGAAGTAGTCGAAGGATTGCATAGGACGCTGGGACCGAGAAATGTAGTGAAGTGGTGTGTCTGAGGGACGTCGGGTGCCGTTTCGGGTACCTCGAAAATGGTGACTTTAATGCCGTGTAATTATCTCAACGCACAAAATAGGTGCACAATGATCGATAAGATGTGCGAACCAAAGGTACGATATTTAATCTTTTAGTTGATATAATTGATAAGATTTTGTAGTACCTAAATCAATCTCTAATAACAGCGCCTGCTATTTCATTAGCTTTAAATCTTCATCTTTAAATATCTATATATAAGATCTTCATTATTCATTTCATATAGATTGGTAGGTACTCTATATAAATATTGTTATTTAGATATTACTTTTATATAGTTACAATTTGCAATGCTCTTTAGTTAATCTGATTTTGTAAAGTTTTTAGATCATATTATACCTATATTATATTCCTCAATACATTTTTTCTCTTAAGAATCATAAGTTGCCATCAATAAACTATCAATATACAATCAATAAATCATGTACAGGTACTCTATTAGACTTAGTTTGTTGCTTATATTTCTGAACTGAAGATATTCAGATGCTTGATGTGCCAAATGGTCGTTTGCATGTGATATTGTTCATCTCTGATATTCTAATATGCTTCATGGTGTTTCAGATTATGTTTATAGGTACATATTCCCATAAACCGTTGGTTCAATTTACACAGATTCTTATACACATTTTAATTAAACCATTTACTAAGTTTAAACTATATTGCTCCACAAAAGTTAAGGAAGTTGACAAATATTGAGATTAATTTAAAAGTTGCAGGTTTTTTGATCGCCAAATTTAATATGAGTTGTAGAGGTAGAGGCAAAAAATCCACTTAGATATGAGAGAAAACATTTAATTTCGCATATTTGAAAATTTGGTGATCAAAAAGTCTGTAACTTTTAAAATAATCGCAAAATTTGCGAACTTCCTTAACTTTTGTGGAGCAGTTTAGTTTAAAGATCCTGTGATGATGTAGTACTCCTATCAGTAATCTCTAGGTAATGATCATTTTATCATATTACCCATTTACCCTACACAGAGGAAGGTAGAAAGAAAGTACTGATTGATCACGAACCTGCAATTAAAAACGCCGTTTTATATACAAACGAAAGGCGAACATAAAAATGGCCGTTCTGGAACTTGTAACCTTAATTTGATTTCTTTCCGGTTTAATTTCTATATGTTTGTCGAACAGGAAAATTGAGTTGAAAAAAAAAGCGCTTAACTGTCGAACCTTCGAAGAATAACATTCGTTATGTTTATGGCACGTCGATAATTTAAAGTCACACCCTCTCAGTAAATCATCTGAAATCAAATTTTTAGTGGTTCCGAACCCCAGTAAAAAATGAGACATTTTATTTTTTTTTATTTTCGTTTGTAATAAATCCCACTAACGACATCCATGTGTTTCGCTTAGCGAATGGCTTTGTAGCAAAAGCGCAATGAAAAAAAGGACAAAAATTCGGTATCCAGTTTCAATCAATGGCTCTCTATGGAGCCTATATTTTTTACATTTATATATTGAAAAATATTTATTGTATTTCCAATTAGGTGTAACAGATCGTTATTCTGTGTGTACAAATTTTAGGAGTTTAATTATTATTTTTAATTTATAAATTTGGGTCTAGAATAGTTTGAAGGATTAGATTACTTTTGAAAGAAGAGACAAACGTTATTGTAAATGCTTCAATAAATGTCAGTAAAAATGTTTTAAAAATGGCACTAAATTAAAATCCCAAAAATGGATTTCAAGTAAACATAACATGTATTTTATCATAAAATGCGCAATTTTTGGTTGGGTCTTCATTTGCATTTCTACGGTATTAGGTTTTGGATTTATATATTACTTTGATTTATTTGAATTAATGTAATGAAATTATGAAGAAAATGTAAGAAAATAATGCAAGGTATGAATTTCATTTGTAACAATATTACTTTTATTAAACTGCGTATATTAAATTTTGCTATTTGGACTAAAATCGAAAAGTAAAAACGAAAGTATCAAAAATGTAGTTGCGCAAATAAAAATGAATTGCGACAAATAAGTACTTAAATACTCATTAAATTGTATAAACGCGTCTATAATGAAAGTACGTTTCAAAATTGTATTCGACAATTAATATTATTGCTGATATTTAGGTTCAAAAAACAATGAATTCAAAATGAATAAAAAATCCACATAAATGATGGAATTATTACTTTTAGTTACTTAAATATAGGTCCAACCAAAACAATACTCGCTAATAAAATCTCGCACTTTTTTCGTATTTGTAAATTATTAAAATCTTAAAATTCCACACTGACCTAAAACACATTTAGATTTCTGTATAGATGATATTTAGATAGTTTTCAATATATTTCTGAGACATTTAACGCTTTAAAAATTTAATAAAAATCTTCAACAGTAATTATAAATTTGCTCCAATCAATAATAAAATGTTATTAAAAATTCTTCTGTTTTAGGTGAAGCGGTCAAGGGCAGATGGCGATTCCCCAACGGAAAAAGAAAGGTAATTTTTGCATCCACATAAAACGAATTCGAGTAAAAGTGCATATACAAGTAACCGTCTTAAAGATGGAACATTATGAAAATAGCTCCGTTTTCGGTTTTACCTGGCCTACCATAGGGACTTCGTTGAATATATACGATGTGAGATGCTATCGGATCAGATAAGTCTTGGTAAAATATACGGCCTGCTAAGTTCCGTCTTCTAAGCGAGACAGTAAGACACCGATGCCCGACTGGCAGGAAAACCTTTGTTGCAAAAATACCTATACATATACCAGTTCATTTCATATTTATATTGTTTTCATATTCACTATTTTATGGACACTTTAATTCCGAGATAATTAATTTATATACCTACTTAATATGATTATACTTGAAACTATTTAAATATATTAGTGCAGACATTTCTTATACACTTAATTTATATTAAATTGAATCTTTATTCGAGTATACTCGAATACTATATATAGATTATTCCATCGAATCATAATTTAAATTAATTGGATTCAATATGTACGCATTTCTATATGGTAAATAAAATCAAAAATGCGCCTCGAGCATCCTTCGTTTATACAGGTAGAAAATCGCTGAATTTTTCGAGAGCTGGTAATCTCATAAAGCAGGCTCGATCTGATTTTTCGTAGTAATCCCAACGGATTACATCAGGAACCATGCGAAGCGGAAAAAACAGTCCTTAAAAACCCATAATCTTTTGTGAAAACGCAAATGGCCCACTGCCAAAACGCCACAATAGATCGAAGTGAGCAGTTGCATCGTCGTTATTTGAAAGAAATAATCATTGCGGTTTTTGGGCGCATTTGATGCAGAAAATTGTCTAATGCGCCGCATTGTTTGGAGTGGGTCTCGAGCCTCTTAAAGAATGGAAGTCAGTCAATAAAGAGCCGTGCTTCGTTTACGGATTTTTAGATTTGCTTCGGATATATTCAATAGGTATTATTTAGCAGAAAAGTAGAAGGGAAATAACTCGAAAGATACCCACATTTTTAACATTCCTTTATTTAATTGTATGGTCTTAGTAATGTTCTAATATAATTATACAACGTGTTTTAATCTGGAATCTAATAAACAAACAACTCGTTAATAACGTTATCGATAAGGTTGCATCTTAACTAAAAAATTAATCTCTATTAGTCACATTTATAAGAGACACCCTTATCATCTCATTATAAGTGTTGTTTAAGAGTAATATCAGTAATTAGGGTAATAAAATTATCGATAGCGAATATATTATAGATGGTTGTTGTTTCGCGTGATGGAAATACGCCGAATGGGTGTAATTAATGCAAGAAATAATTTTTGGTTCGAATCGATATACGGTGATGAAATCATTTTATACACACAATCCTACCCTTTGGAAATTTTGTTTTTTCCAGTTAGCTTCCTCTAAAATTAGCCTTCGACCAGACCGTTCGGTACCGCGAGAGCAAATACGGCTTCCCAACCCCCGTCGAACAATGAAGAGGGCCTTTTAATGTAAGAGCAAACATGTGGTTTTCAGCATGACGTACGCCTGTCAAATTACCGACTGAAATGTTATTTGGAAAAGAGAAGGAGCCTTTCAGACAACGGGGCGGTGGAGAAATGTGTGTGTGTGTGCGCTCTCCCGAGTGTTTTGTGTTTTGCATTCGGATGCTCTTTTATCGTTCTGGGAATTTTGTTTAATTTGTATATTCTTTCCGCGCCCATTAGGGAAGCTATATTAGGGATGAATGCATGTTAATGGTGGACAAACGAATGTCATCGAACTGGGGAACGCGAGTTTTGTTTTATGAAATTTTATAGATGGTCCTAAATTATTTTGCCGGGCTGATTACGAATCCAAAGTCCGGAAATGCATACTTAACGAGGGAATGAAAATATAATTTTAAACACCTTTGAATCTGCACTACTAAAATACTTACCAAGTAGCTATAAAGCAAGTTACTAAATCAAGTAACTAAATTTAGTTACTTGTATGGTGTGGACAACTTGATAGTAGTTAATATAAATTGGGTCTACTTGCACAAGTTACTAAATCAAGTTGTCCACACTATACAAGTAACTAAAATTTAGTTACTTGGTATTAATTAAAAAAATATAACTTTATAGACTTACTTGCAAGTTCTGGACATATCCCTGTAAATGAGCTTTCTTTATACATTTTCATGGGTCCCCTAAACCTCAAAACCACCTTTTTCGTATTTATGGCACTTTTTGTGCATATTTCTCACAGAAATCTTTAAAAAAAATTACCGCACATTTCCAAAAATCAACCCTTTTATGCCGCAATATTCGAGCATGAGAACTCTTTACCGCTTTTAATCGTACGTTTGGGTTAAAACGGGTTAACATCCAAATCTCATTCATCGTCAAAAGGACTTTTGATAATTTAGGATTTCGAAAGGTTTCATGGGAATGCCGCGAGCTAACTAACGAAATTCTACTATTTAACCCTTTGCGAAAGGGTTGGGGTTGCGGTAATCGTCGCTGAAATTACCTTAAAAATGCGCAAAACGAATTCCCATATACCTTTAAAAAACAACAATTAACTTTTTTCCGCTCGGTTAGGGTGAAAAGGGTTATAGGCTTACCTGCAAAGTCTCGCTTTCAATACTTTACGAATTACGAAATTTGCCATTTCTTTCCAATTACTTCGTATGAAAGGAATCATATACGGCTTTATTATAATCTTTAGGGAGTGCGTACTTCTCCTCTGCCGTGCACTTTTAATTCCGGATCGAAAGGAAGCGATTAAATTTAATTATTCGCTGCGAAATTAGTAAGAAATTCTTTGGCTTCGTATTGAAAGGGGTGAATTTGATACCAACACGCACCGAAGGCATCCCTCGCAACGACGTCGCATTTGAACAGGAAGAGACTGAAATTTGTAGGTCTTTATCATCCTCTTCGGTATTTTTTTCGATGTGTTTTGTCACCCGTAAATCATTCTCAAGGTTTCGCCCTGCGTGTTTTTCAACGAATGTGGAAAAAGAACACCTGCGAGTACGCCCGGGAATTACCGTTTTAATTAGATGGTGCTTCCATTGATTCTTGCAATTTGGATATTTATTAAATTAGGATTTTTAGGTTGGTATAGAGAGGTTTGTCTTAGGAAAAAGTCGGTGTGTGGAACCGTTCAAAAGTCCTAAGTAAACAAGCGACACAAGTGCACCTGGTGCCAGAAGTGTCGCAAAAATAAACGTGTCCAATTCGACGTGGAAACAAAATTAGACGGGAAGAAAAACAGCAAGAATTCGGTTTTTAGTATGTAGGAAATCCTGCCGTATTTTTTTAACTCGACTTTTGAGAAAAACCACTTTTATCTAGGACGGAAAAATTTGTTTTCTTCTTAAATGGGTATAGTTATTTTCGTACAAAATGCCGGGAAAATCACCATTGAATAAACCATTTCAAACGCAGAAAGCAACAATTTCATGAAATTTAAGTACTAGATTATTTTTTATTTATTGATTTCGTACAAGGAAAAAAACTTTCCTCGTTTCGAGACACCAACTACTACCTGTTTTAGCATAGTCTTTTACCTGCTAGTTGGAAACTTCTATATTTGTTTAGATCTAATATTTATTGTTAAGGGACCACATTTCAATATTTGGCAAAATAATATTGACACGAACCAATAAGATAGGCGTTCCCACGGTTCAATAACAACTTCATAATAAAATTTAATTTCTAATGGCGTTTTCCATTGGTAAAATAGTGCGAACTGAAAGTGCACTGAAAGCAAAATGTGTGTTTCATTTGTTGGACCGTGCAAGTTTTTGATTTGCATTGGCCATCTGCTCACCAAAAAACACTTTTGGAAATCAAAACACTCGCACAGTCCACCAAAAGAATCAAAAATTTTGCTTTCAGTGCACTTTCAGTGCGCACTATTTTACCAATGGAAAACAGCATAATTAAAACTATACAATATCGTAATCTTAGGGGAAATATTGGCAGCGCTGTTTTTGTGACGGACAAGATAAGTTGGCTACATTGTAGATCTAGTATTTTTTGCAAAAATACTGCAAATTTATAATGACAATTTGATTTTCCAATTCACTTTCATTCTGACAATGATGTAGCAGTTGAAACATTTTTTTCCATATCTTCGCGTAAATGATATTGAATTTTTGAAATTTCCTGTGGCCAAACATGCGAAACCATTCGATGCAGGCGGATTTTAAAAGAAAAATCGCGCTAACGAGGGAATCCGAACTCAGATCGAATTCGAGCGGCGCTCTTAGGTAAAATTGATGTAAACGCTGATGGTGAAATGTCGCAAAATGACGAATTCAACGAGGAGGACGTTCTGATGATAATCTTAGCATTGTCGTTAATATTGTGTGTAGTATTGCCTGTGGCTTTGGTGGCAACGCCGTACTTGATTCAAGAATGGAACGCATTTTTGTCGATATTGCTAGCCTTTCTTATAAGTCCTATACTATTCCTAAACGAGAATAACATAAACGAAATGTTCCAGGAAATGTTTCTAATGTAATTTTTTTATTTTTGTAATAACACACATACCTGCTGCAAAGAACATTTTAATCAAAACATTGGATTTTCTTTGAGTTGTATATACGAAACTGTGCGCTGCATCCCTCTCTATTATTAAATTCCGAACGAAATGCTGATGAATGCGATGAGTAGGTAGCATTTTGCTCCAGAATCTCGACGAGATAAAAATCTCAAAGGAAGCACCTTGAAAATATTTGTAATCCCGAAAGCACAATATCCCTTGCGAATTGAATGAGATTGAAAGATGCGATTTGACTAAAGCGGCTACCAAAAGGCCCATTATCTCGCAATTGCAATCGCCGGTTTTATGCGAAACTCGAGCTACCTACACAAAATTCTAAAAAAAAACTAAAATTTGTTCTGTATACATTATTCTGCACCTATTAACCTAATTTTATAATTGAATTGCAATTTGTCCTTTGGCAGAGTTGTAGAAAGTTTGTTTAAGGGATTTTAAAACATTTTCTTTATAGGTTCAGA